ACAAATTTTTTAATGGAAAATAATGGTCATTCCAAACATTCGGTGGGTATATAGCTGGCAAAAATAGAATTTAACTGTCTTTGAACTCGATTTTTAATATTTTAATTACACTTTAATTTTAGAGTATTATTGGAGAGACTGATTGTAAACAGGCCACATCCCTGGGGGCTTCTCATCACTTTCATTGAACTTATTAAGGTATAAAAAGCTAAAAATAAACTTTAAAGGGACAATATTGAGTTTACTTAATTCAGTATTCAATTTTTGAGAAGTTAATAATTTTTTTTAATTATAGAGAGCATTATTGTAATTTCAATTCTGGCAATTTCTAATTCACAACAGTCCCCATAAAACCTAAAAAAGATAATTGAGGATATTGTCGTTTTTCTAGGTTTTAAAATCTTTTTTTAATCTGATAATTTCTACATTGTTTCCTGCAGTAGAAATGTGCAAGTCACTTTTATTAAGAAACAACAATAAGAATAATCAGTTTTCAAAATTATTATCATTAATATCTGATCTATATCTGATCAGACAAAGCTTTCAAGGAAACTGCTGTGAATCGTGCCATCTTAGCATTATGGTTATATAAAAAACGCTTGATAATTACAAATAGATTTACAAATTTGTAGGAATCGTATAATTAGAAATAGTGTGCAAATATGCTATTTAACTTAATTTCATTTTATTTCAGAATCCCACATTCAAATTCTGGTCACATGAGTTTGTACACTGTGCTCCTGAAATACAGAAACTATTTGAATCCGTGGCGAGGAGTTGTATGGTAGCAAGCCAGCCCAGGTATACAGTTAGTAAGACCAGGTGTATGGGGTTGAATTAGTATTTAGCCAGTCCAGGTATACAGGGTTAAATTAGTAGTTAGCCAGCCCAGGTATACAGGGTTAAATTAGTAGTTAGCTAGCACAGGTATATAGGTTTTAATTAGTAGTTAGCTAGCCCAGGTATATAGGGTTAAATTAGTAGTTAGCTAGCCCAGGTATACAGGGTTAAATTAGTAGTTAGCTAGCCCAGGTATATAGGGTTAAATTAGTAGTTAGCTAGCCCAGGTATATAGGGTTAAATTAGTAGTTAGCTAGCCCAGGTATAGAGGGTTAAATTAGTAGTTAGCTAGCCCAGGTTTACAGGGTTAAATTAGTAGTTAGCTAGCCCAGGTATATAGGGTTAAATTAGTAGTTAGCTAGCCCAGGTATATAGGGTTAAATTAGTAGTTAGCTAGCCCAGGTATATAAGGTTAAATTAGTAGTTAGCTAGCCCAGGTTTACAGGGTTAAATTAGTCGATAGCCAGGGTTAGTACGTTTTATACTTTGCACTCTATTTTCAGTTAATTATACTGCTCTAAAAATATTATTTTTACTTTTTGTCTGGACCATTTCCCGGCTTAATTGTTATTTTAATTCTTGTAACATTTTAATGTTTTTCCTTGTATCCGTATATTATCNTTTACGACCGGGGCAGACGTTAATGAGTTTAAGGCTCGGAAGATGTGGTAAGTTTCTTTTGAGACATTTTTTCCTCTCAAAGATTTTTATATTTGGCAGAAAAAATTTGAAATATTTTTTTTTTCAGCCGAATCGAAGGTGGAGATCAAGCAGCAGCAGAGTAATTTATCCATATTGGAAATGAATGAATGAATAATTCATCGGCAGACAAATCTGTAAAAAGAAAAAATGACTGAATTTAGTGAATGATCACTGATCAGTTTAGTGTTATGCTAAAACATTATATTTGGTGAAGGAATAATGGATTTAAAAAACCATTTTAAATGTTTTATTGTGAATTAAGCTAAATTTGCTTGACTGGATTTGGGCGTTGGAAGAAGCTGCTTTTTTGACAGCTCAATGGCACTGCTCCTGTCATTGTGTCCATAAAATCTGTTCCAGTCAACACCACTGCACAATTTATTACTATATCGTTTTATCCAGCGTATTTTATTAACAAAGTGAATTTTTCGCATTTCAACCTTTGTATATAAATGTAATCCTTTAGCAATAGATGTGTTTGTGTCTCAACAACTGAGAGATGTACAATGTACAGTGGAAAATGTACAGTGTACATATGTTTGTAAATAATCCGCGTATTTATGTCTTATTGTAAATTATATTTTCTCAATAAAGATTTCTCATTTTTTAATTGTTCATTTGGAATTATTAGTAGTTCAGCGCTATAAATAATCTACTCCCAGGGAATAAGAATAAAGAGAATGGAAATGGCGCTGGTCTGGCATGAGAAAGCCAGTCCCTGTGTTAAACACCCTACAGTCAAGGAAGGTGCAGAACGATGTTGGCAATTATAATTAAGCTTGAATCACAAACAGGTTATTATGAATATTTATCAAATTCTATACTTTGCATGAAAATTTCTCATAGTATTGAAATACACCACAGACTACTCATACCTGGATAGGCTGAGCAGGCCTATAATGTCCCAGCACGCCATGTTACGGTTCCATGTAATGTTTTTTGACTGACGGCCACTTGTTGCATTCAGGGGTTAAGTTTTAAAACTTTTAAGAAATACTCCAATTTTAAACAAACAAAAAACATAACGTTTATGAATATTGTCTATTTTAAAAGATTTTGCATTTCCTAGTCAAAGGATTCTGAAATATCCCGAATACAGTTGTCTCCTGATTGGTCGTGTACAGTACTTGTACACAATAGAACATGCTGTGGAAATGGCACATTATAGGTCAGAGATAAAAGAGTTATAGAGATTGATTAACACCTATAATATGCGATATTTTCCACAGCATGTTCTATAAGCACAAAGCCACAAAATATGGCACATGATCAAAACTGATTTACTAAAATCAAATTTTGTTTATCAAGAAATAAATTAAATGATTTGACTTGGTCTTTAAGCCTTCATCAGGTCATAGCTGAGATTACTTTTGTTATTCTGCAAATTCTAAGGATTTGCTGGTAGCTGGGATGTTAAGAAAATATCGATTTGACAGGCTTGCGACATAATTGCGAGTAAACATTTTTTCATCGGAATGTAAAATGGAATGTTTAATTGTCTTCCTTAGTACAATTACAAATACTAAGATATTTCTTGAGTATTTCATGAGAACGGTTCTTCAAATATTTTGAAACAAATATTGACAAGTGGTTCTAATATTAAACCATAAAAGATTTTTATAAATATACGAAAATTTAGATAAACAAGATTAATTTATGAATTTATGAGACTTTTGTGTGCTTTATCATGCTTCCTGACTTCATCGTGAATTTCATAATGAACGTGCTATAAAGTTAAATTAGCTGTACATTATAGCACGTGTGCTATAAAGTTTTGATTGGTTCCCGGATTTTCTCAAAAGCATTTAGAATATTTCCAAAAAAAAATTTTAATTGAAATAAAAATAAAACTGAAATCATATATTTTGACCTCTGCTTTGTTTTTAAGCTTATTTGATCTAGACAAAGCCATTGAAAAAAAGACAAGCACACAAACGTTTCATAAAATTTCCTATATAACACTTTTGTTTTGGCACGACGTGCTATAAAGTTATTGGACTTTATAACACTGCGAACCAAAATAACAGTGTTAGTTATTATATATATGTTCATTACTTACTGGACCAGATTGGCTGAAACTAAAGAAACCCATGTGTACTCGGGGTTGGCATAAGAAGGAAACAGGCATTATAAATTCCGTCTTTGTAGTCATATCCTTTGTGAATAAACCTTTCTATAATAAAACGGTTCAATTTTATACTAATCTCAATTTTATCAAAGTGGGCAAAACATTGAACTATTTTGGATCATAGCGGTTGGAATTTTAAAAATTGTAAATAGTGGAAACCCATAAAAAAGTGTTAAAAAAGGACTACGACATTAAAGAAATCTTATGTCTATTTGACGATATTATTTTTTATATTCTGCTTAAAATTGATTTAGTAATAGTATGTGAAAAGGACTACGACATTAAAGAAATCTTATGTCTATTTGACGATATTATTTTTTATATTCTGCTTAAAATTGATTTAGTAATAGTATGTGAAAAGGACGACGACATTAAAGAAATCTTATGCCTATTTGACGATATTATTTTTTATATTCTGCTTAAAATTGATTTAGTAATAGTATGTGAAAAGGGTCTGTTCACCATTGATGTGTTTTAACTTCAATGAACTCTGTAAAATTATAAGAGTCATCTTCCTATCCCGATTTTTTTCGGGTTTTACTGTAATCCACTCTTTAATCCGTATTTTTATTTGTATTCTAAATATATAGGGTGTCAAGGTTATAACGCAAGGAAAGTTAATTGCAGTTGCGTATACTCTGCGTAAATATTGAAACCAGTTCTCTCTGGGCACAAGTTGTAAACAAGAATAGATACATCAGTGTTCCTTTAGTATCAGAGGAGGTTAAAAAAGCATTACATTTTGATAATTTTGATAATTTACATAATAGTTTCCAATGACCAGAATATTTCATTGATTTTTTATGTGAAAGATGGATCCCATGTCAGGCCTAGAGATCCGTCTTGTGTTTACATTACCACCCAGGGCCAGAGACAGTACACTACAGTACAAAAGATGCGTACACCTCTGAAATATCTTTCCTTGCATTATAACCTTGGGTGTCCCACATCATATTAGATCGTCAATCGGTCTAAATTACGATTTTCGGGACTAATAAAAAAAATTTAAGAAGAGTGAATCATTTTTGAAAAACTGAATAAGGCTAATATAAGAATTTTATTGCGGAAAATACTATTTTTTCGAGTTATTTGGTTTTTATTTTGGCGTTAAAACTTGGGATAATCTAATATGATATGGGACGCTCTGAACTAGATACTTGTTGGAACCTCTGTCTGTACTCTCTAAGAATTTACATAAACAATGTATCGAAAAACAATCTGGGTTCCCAAAAAAATTGTCGTCACTTTTAGTAATTAAAAAAAAATAATGCGTCAAAAGGCCAAATAAATGTTTAGCGTAAATGCGCAAAATCTATTTAAATGCCGCACTTTTTTCCGACACACTTTACCAAAAGTGCGCGCAACTACAGCTAATTGATGAAAATTATGCGTGTAGGCATTCTTTACTTTTCATGCATATTCAAATACTTAATTTTAGTGTCTATCTTTTCAAATATACTGTACAGTTGTGCCTAACCTTTTAAAAGATCCAATTACAGAAAAGTATATGATGGTGAAATGGGAAGAATTGGAACCTGAAATGTGTTTAGTTAAATTTACAAATACACTATAAATGCATTTCTATATTGTTGCACTGGTGATGGTTTTCTCGTACTTTAACAAAAGATTCATTCACAAATATTTTCTATTTGATATATATAGCCGGATAAATTTGATTTTCCTATAATTGTGCGCAAAATCAAAAGGTAAGGAGCTACAAGGTCACAAGTCATACCAGTAATATCTCATGATTTGTCCTTCTCCTTCTGCTATTTGGAAATATCTATAAATTATAATAACCTCTATTTAAAATTTAGAACGGACGGAAGTTTTTAAAAGCAAACACCCACTTTAACTAGAGATTCCGTCAACAAACGGAAACCCCTAGTCCCTGGTATCAATCCATTAAATAAACTGGAAAATAGGAATCTGATATTTAAACTATTTTCAAATTTTGCATGATGTTTATAAAATGAAGTTTTGTTATTTTTAAACAAGATTACGCATTTTCAGCATTTCAACACCTAACCTTCGGCTTTACCTTACAATTTTAGTAAATGATTTGTGTACATATGATTACTATGTACATTATATAATGAATTAATCTACTGAGGATTGCCGCAAGGCAGGAAACATTATATATATAGGATTCTTTAATATATGAAAATGTTTTTATTTAAAGCTGAGTCTTGAAATAGATATATTTATATTTTAAACAAACAATATGATATATCCAACAATTCACAAAACCAACCCTATATCCCAAATTCAACCTTATCTACTCCACCCAACCAATCTATACCAACAGCACCAACCCAAGTTCTACCTGCACACTTTGAACAAAATAATGCAAGGCCTAAAAAGGAATGTAACTGCAGAGAGAGAAATAGTTGTCCTTTAAATGGAAAATGTTTAATCAAATCTAAATCTGGCGTCAAACCTTATAGAAATCCAACGTATAGAAACCGCTACGTATAGCAACAAGGGGTATTTTCCGGGAGAACATTTTTTATATTTTTGAGAAATTAAATAATCAGTGTAAAGTAGATATAGTTTTCATAAAATCCTTTAATTTAAATGGTAAAACGGAATGTTATGAAATCATATTAGCATTACTGGAGAACTGTAGATAGCATTTTTATAAAATATCTTTTTTAATAATAACATGCAATTTTATGTATAACCATAAAATCATTCATTTATGTTGTCAGTACATAATAAAATCCATGGGGGACCTTAACCATAGAGAGCAGTATTAAACTATTTTGCTCCTTAAATGTCTAGGGTATGTTAAAAAAAATAGAAACTTTGATAATGCTAATGATAAGCTACAATGTTTTACAAAAACGTTTAATTTCTCAAAAATGTAAAAAATATTCTCCCGGAAAATACGCCATGTTACTAAACCTAGTGATTTCTATAAGGTTTGACGCCAAAAACCAAATCTATTGTGTACAGAACAGAAATAAAATCAGACCAAGATACAGTGGCATATATTGGTTTGGCTTCTAACACATTTAAAGAGAGGTACCTGAATCATACATTATCTTTTAGGAATCAGAGATACAAAGAAAGTATACGGCACTTTCCAAGTAAATTTGGAAATTAAAGGATCAAAATAAACCGTATGAAGAAAAATGGTTTATCGACATGTATGCGCCCTCATATCATCCAACCAAGAAGAGATGCAATTTATGCAACACAGAAAAAACTCTTATCCTCACATCTACACATCATCATCTTCTAAATCAGCGCAGTGAATTAACAAGCACATGTCGGCATAGAAGAAAATATTATCATCGATTTAACAAAATCATGTTTTTATATGTATCTAATAATTTGTATATTGCAGATAAGCGCTGTTTTTTTTTAAAAAGGAAAATCATTGCAAAGAAATATTTATAATATTTTTTAAAAAATACGCAATATGTGATGTAAAAATCTTGGAATTTTAGTTGTTCAAAGAATTGTAACTACTGAGGATCGTCATGATAGGCGTGAAACATTATGTTTAGTATAATTCTTTTTTAATAAAAAATGTGAAGTTAAAAACTTACACACACATATATATATATATATATATATATTTGTTTTTTTGGATAAAAAAGGAACTTTTTGCTATAGTTAAATTTAGGTTTACTTTATAATAGTCCCTATTTTCTTAGTTGCATGGCAAGGAGCTGGGTTCCCAAGCTACAGGGTGTTCTAATAATTGTGACATTTTTTAGCAACTGTTTCTCAATCCGTTTAAATAACTTTTTTCAACTGTTAAAAATATTTCAGCAATTGCAACATAAACGTTTTTCAATATTACAAAAAATCCGCAATATGTATTTAAGAAAAAAAATCAAATTTAGTATTTCCATAAAACGTTTCACGCGCAGTTTGGGTAGGCGGGTCAACGTAAACATAGCCAAGGACAAGAACTATTCGTCGATACTTATTTTTATTACAAAGTTTATAACTTTTCGACGTCAACCCGGCAGATAAAAGAGTTTCAGACAATTTTCGCAATAGAACTGAATTGTGCATTTCAGAAGATGGCGGTCATTTTAAACACCTGTAAAAAAAGTGAATTCAGTTATAAAACAAAGGAGTCATAACTATAAAAAGAACTTCATAACATAAATGTAACCATCAACACATTCTGTCTAACTATTATTGTAGTTTATAATAATATGTAGAAATCTTGTAAAACAATTTATAAACTAAAAATATATATTAAAAAGCAACAAAAGTGCTTTTTTATGAAATTTTATCGTCAACACCTGAACACAATGTCAATAGCGGAAACTTTTAACCTAAAGCGATAAACAGTGCTTAATCTGCTGACTCACATGGTGGCAATCTCTCATTGACTGGAAGCAGATTCGTGTACAGGGTTACCCACAAAGAATGAGACTTCAGAGACGAACGACAGTAGGGAGTTCTTACTCTTTGCTTCTTTCAATTCACGATTCCCTGAAGCTTTAAATTTGTTTATTCTCTTGTAAAATAAGCCAATAAAAGACTATTACAAGTTAGAAAGATATAGAAAAGTGTTTTCTTAAGGCTTTAATTGTTCACAAATTTTGAATTCAGGTCAAAACTTTAACTTTATAAACTTTTATGTTATAACAAAGACAGACCACTAATCGTAAATTCCAAAACTGAAGAAATATATATTTATCATTTATATTTGTCTAGAGCAAAATTACATTAACAATATAAAAGTTTACAATTAAATACTAATACTTTTTTCTCTGGATATCGCATTTATAACTGACAACGTTTGCCAAAAAAGGTGCCATACAAGACTTTAAGCATGAGTTTGGTTTTGTTATTCGAAGAGGTGGTTTTCAGAAATGGAGTATCTTGGTCCCAGTCTAGTGTTCTTCGTTTTCTAAAAATGTGGTATGGTGGCAGAACTGCAACGCTTGATAGATTTTCGCACATTACTTTGAAACTAACACTGGGTTTGCAGAACTTATGCAGTTTCTTTAGATTTACTTTATTTAATGGTAAGTTAAATCCTTTTGAGCCGATTTCAAAAGGGTGAACAGACACATCCCTAGTTGTTATAACTGTGATAAAATGTTCATACATGTTCATCTTTTGGGCATTTTTGATATTTTTTCCAATTGGACAGTAAGCTCAAAAATATCCATCTTTTCCTCCATTCTATCTATAATTACTAGATCTGGTTTCTCTGCGGTCACAAGGAGGTTGGGGGGAACTGGAAGGGTATTGTGGAACGGTATGTCGGCATACATCAAAAATCGGTCAATATCAATTAATCCAGTGATATATTTAATAAGATTGTTGTGCCTCCAAGTATATCTTTTTTGGTGTAGTGCAACCTTGCAGCCATTCAAAATATGGTTTGTAGTTTCTTGTCTTCTACCTTGCAATTCAGCGCCTGCCTGTAGACATAGTTTACAGAGATCTGATGCAGATTTTCCCCATTGTAGTTTGTGTAAGTTTGTGCTGGCAGTGTGTCCAAACAGGAGTTGAGTAGAAATTTCAGTAAACCTTTATTCAAATTGAACATGTAAGATTTCCAGATCATGTCAGATTTTTCAAGCATTGCCAGGCAGAGAAAATGTCCTTGTTTTATGTGTGGTTCTGTATGTTCTCTCCAGAAAGTTTCATTTTCAAAAGATACTTTTTCACTGACAGTTGTTTTCATTTTTTTGTAGCATTGAAGTTCGGAAGCTTCGTCATCCCAATCAGGTATTTCTGCTTGACCATAGTTCTCTAATGTGGCTTGGTGAAACATTTTTTCTATATTTGGAATTTTAGTTTCATCAATAGTGAAGTTTATTCTGCCAGGTACTCCCGATCTGATGGAAAATGATCTACATTTTGCTGGTTTTAATCTCATTCCCATACTTTCAATCTTGGATTTTATTTCATTTTGATTTTTTTTATGTTTTCTCAGATCTCAGATCTGCTGTTATCGGGCAAAAATCCAAAAGGAAAGCTTTATTCTCATGTGTGTCGATAACATCCGGCCTCATAAAAACAATTTTTTTCGCACACGTAACTTACACTTTTGTAATGTGCAAAAAATTTGAAATGTGAGATAAGTCGTTATTAACTTCTCAAGAGCGCATGAAGTGCTGGTAAAGCCAGCAAAAAATAGGAAAGTTCAATTTCGTCATAGTCTGTATAGTTCTAGCTGTATATACGGTAGCACTAGCCGATATATATACTTTGCAATATAAGCTGCACAGGCAGCAGCTCACTGTTATCTAGATGTACTGGTTTTTTGGAACCAATTAAATATTGAATTTTTTATCATCACCCCCTGGAATTTGTTACAGTGAATTTGAATCTATTCTTAAAAAACAAAATTATAGGGCTAAAAGGTCCATGCTCTCTCTCTTGCACCCCCAATTTTTCTAGGGGGACTTCCCCCTTTCCCCACCCCCATAAGCCAACTCTGGCCGCCGGTTAACGAAAGTGAAACCAACCGTTCCAAAAATCAAGAACCTATCCAGCCCAATCTGGAGTTAGATTAATTCGTCGTAGGTGATTAAAATGGGGTATGAGATGTGGATGCAGGCATTGGCAGCTCTTGGAGCTAGCCTAGGACAGGTATAGACCAGGCTCTCATTAAACATCATTATATATTAAATTTTTTTCTTTTTGAATTCAATCGTGTTTTGGTCTACAATTCAACAATCTTTAAACGTACATTGTTATCCTTTTATACTTTTTTAATACGCAACAAAAAGTATGAAAGAGAAAATGCGAACAAATAATGTTTAATAGGTTGAATTGTTATCTAAAGTCATAGCTTACTTGGACAGAATTTGGACTGGATTTGATGAATTTGAGATATAGATGGGTCTAGAGGCGGTTTAACTACGATTCTGAAATTGGGGTCGACCTATAGATGTGAACTCCCGGGCATTCAGCGACGGTTTAGCATTTTTCTGCGTCATTGCTCAAATCCACTAAATTCGGTCACTGGTCTGTTAAATGGCGTGAGATGACGACCTGAAATTATTATCATTATTATTAGCAAAATTAATACAGTGATAACCAGAAAACTGTGGAATAGGAAGAGAACATTTAAGCAATACTGAAGTGCATTTGATGTTGGTAGAGAGCAAATAGCTTTAATAGTAAGTTATTAAATGACTTAATAAGTAAAATGTGTCGGACTATTTAAAGTAATGAATGGAGTCGACTCCCTATTCCAGAGTTTTCTAGTTATCACTGTATGTGTTATACATATATTGCTAATATATTTTTTTTATATATTTATATGTTAGCTATAGTTGCAGGCCAAACGACTTGACCGAATGGGCTGACATTTTTTTTATGGATCCCATGGGTGCCCCAAGGATAAAAGAGGCTTAAAAAAGATTTAAAATTTTTTTCTTTAAAATCTCGATTTTTTACTTCAAGGGCAACGCTGGGCACTCTAGCTCGTCATTAACATAATTAATTTCTAATTGATTTGACTAGGCTACTGTTGGCCATATTATACCTCTCTCCTCCTTCGCCCTTCCTCAACTACTCACAGGTTGGGGTTTTTATCATCCTTCAAAACTGATCATTTCTTGTTTTGAAAATTTGTAAATTATTTTCAAAACGATTTATGTTTTAAATCCAGAATTAAATACTCTGAATTGGTGATTCAAGATTTGAACCGGTGGTAGAAAGTTTAGCGACAAAGCTTATCAAATTCATAAAATTTGGTCCCTTGATAGTATTATTGATTTTTTTTCATCATTGTGGAAAGTTTGAATAATATTAAAAAATGAGGAATTGTTTTGAAAAATATCAAAGATGCCTATATTCATAGGGGAGGCCGGGCCGATGATTTCTGTGGAAGAAGGTTCTTGGTTTGGTAAGAATATCCTTTAATTTCTTCTTATCTTTAGTCTTACAGGGCGCTTCGCGTTCATCCTCCTGGTCATATAGTTAGATGATTCAAACCTTTAAAATTTTCTGGTTTTGTTATTTTCTTCTTGAATTGAGACATATTTAAACCTCATTTACTACTCCTTGCAATGTTGATGCAGTGGCCCCGGTTTAGCCGCTTTCCCCATCCATGACGATCAGGGTTTCTGGCAAAATGAAAAAATCGATTTTCAAAAAATTTGCATTCCTTGTTAAATTTTTTAACTCTATATTTCTGCAAAAATGGTGTTTTTTTTAATATATTTTGAAAATTATTATTTTTGTTTGGTACTTTAATGGCCCAAAAAAAATCCGCGAACCTTTTTTTTTCTTTCAAAATCAAAAGTTCAGAAAAACAAAAATATGTAAATAAATTGTTTCTATCGAAATCTAAAATTTTAAAAAGATTAAATCACAGAATCTCAGAAAATTTGCAAAATTGTAATTAGAAAATTCGCCATTTTCAGTTCTGGTATAATTTTTACGGAAAAATTGTTTTTCAATGGTTCTCAAGGTTTCAACTGAACAGCGTATATTTAATGCTTTAGAATAAAATAAGAAGAAAGGAACTAGAGAATTTAAATAACTTTTCCTTAAAAATTAGCCCAGAACTGAGAATTGCGAATTTTCTTATTACAATTTTGCCAATTTTCTGTGATTCTGTGATTCAATCTTAATAAAATTTTAGATTTAGAGAGAAATAATATGAATGCACATTTTTGCTTTTCTGAACTTTTGATTTTGAGAGAAAAAAACGATTCGCGAATTTTCTTTTGGGCCATTGGATTTTCAAAAAATATTGAAAAGACACCATACAGGAGAGTTGCACAAAAAAGGTACAATTTTGCACCAGGCGCCACAAATCACAATTTTTTTCGACTCACCCTGTATAATAAAAAGCTATTTATTAGAGTGATGGAAGAGAAATTACTAATTATAATATAAAAAATTCTAATGCTGAACTCGCTGAACAAAGATTTCCGCGCAGTAAAATTTGTTTGTGCAATTAATTGTTTCAGCTTTAGTTTTGTGCGGATATTCTTAGACAAAAACAAACACGCTGGAAACCCTAAGGACGACTAGACAAACACAAATACATAGATTGCAGTTAGGAATGTTAAAAAAAACACTATTTGAAGATTTATAACTTGTTTTTTTGTTGTTGTTGCAGCCAGCATGTACCCTCTTGGTTGTTTATCAGGTTTTTATTTTTAAGATTTTAAAAAAAATTTCAAAAATGTTTTTTGAACTTTTACTCCTATTTGTTGCTGCTTTTATTTGTCAACCTAATTTTTGAAGTAAAATTATTTCCAAAACGTGGTCTGTCTTTTGTATTACCCAAGATATGAATATGTTCGTTCAGATTTGACAATTTTGGTTTCATTTAACAAAATTGAAATCTGAACAAAATTCTTAATATCTCCGGTAATATTGACAGCACAGAAAAGGCAGACCACATTTTGGAAACGCCAGGACTAGTAGAATGTTGTGGTTATTGTTTCAAGAATTATACATGTTAAAGTATAAGGTTGACGACTGAAAGCCACAAATCAATTTCAAGATCAAAGACGACATTCAAGTACTATTGCAAATACTGTCACGTTTCCTAGGACACCCTGTATTTCTTCATTAAGTTAAAGGCATTTCCTTAAAGTTGTCTCATTAAAACAAAAAAATAAGAGACAACTTAATTGTTGTCTTTGATTTACAATAGTTAAATGAATAAAAATTGACAACAGGATGTATAAAAAAAAGATTTAAGATCTATGTGAATTCGAAAAACCATGGGATAGATTTTTAACTGCTAAAATTGTGTTACAAAATTATACGGAGTTGAAAGATTTACATGTTTATTGGAACACTCTGTATATTAAGGATCTATATTGGGAGGAATTCAATGTGACAAGGTTGGCAGGTGAGGCTAAAAAGTAGATTTTGCACCAAACTCCTTGAACCTACCTTGGTGCAAAAATTATGAATATATTCTAGCTTTTCTCTTTTATAATTTGATTGTTTTCAATTAGAGGCAGAATTAATCTCGCTTTAAAATAAAAAATGGCGAAATTTCTTCATTGTTCCAGTAACATAGATGCACATGGTATCATTGATAAAAATAACTGGAATTACACCAACAGTCCCTTTAATAACCATATAATTAAAGTTTAGTTCAGATTACTAAAATCATTAAGTTAGAATAATTAAAATAATGTTTAATTAATAATTAGTTATGTTCATTACCAACTCAATAGAATTATTAAAAAAATTAATATTATCAATGTCCCACGCACAACCGGTGTACATTTGAATATCCGAGCTGAGCCAACCTTTGCGGTCCTAGTTTGGACTGTACCACCAATTTACAATTGCTACAGCGGGAGAACTGTCTGGTCCTCTTGTTGTCAAACCAATCTCATCTGCGAACTCTTGTATTGTGGATATTGAGATGAATGCTTGATCTCGATCTTAATAGTTAATCTGAAAATTAATTTCTATATCCCGTATGGTAATTTTACCCTCAACCAACAAATATTCTGTTTCCTCTTTAATTTCCTTAATTTTATACACCCCCCCCCCCCCTCCCCACCTGAAAACATTTCTAGAGTAGAACAGAAAGAAGAGAATAAACATTGATCCTCAAATTAAAAGTGTTCACAGTGGATAACGAGATTAAGCGGACTTTAATGTTCAGGAAGAAAAGCATGATAATAGACTGCATTGGTTTTATCATTTCATTCCTAATACTTGCTTTTGCTGAGAGCTTTCCTCTGCTCATTCTAGGTAAGCCATGGGGGCCATTTTTTGGGGGGTGGGAAGGGTGTAGTTTTTAGTTGTTCTTAAAGAAAATGACTGGTTATAGTTTTTGGGTTGTTCTTAAAGGGTGTGACTGGCTAGGTATGGTAGTTGACCTGATAGTGTAGAATTATTTTAATGAACCCTGATTTATTCTCTAAATTACTGTACTCTCAGTTCAACTACCATACCGCCAGTCACTCCCTTTAAACAATCAGATATTTTGATTTTTAAGAGGCTTTATACGAATCTGTTTAAATATTGTATCCTCTAAATGATTGATGATTAGACAAAGGTATGCAGATCAGATGATATATTTTTTGAAAAACCGGAAAAATTAAATGTCATTAGTTTAGTGAATTAGCAACGGATAAGGTTTTCGAAAATTTGTGTAATCACAATATCTATATAATATCCATGTGAATTTCTCATAAGTATTACTAGGTATTCTTTGTATAGAATTTCACAATGAATTGCTTTAAAATGCAGCGTGGGGTAAGCAAAATACCGTCTAGACACCCCAACATAAATATATGTATATATTTACAAAGTACGGAGACTAAAATCCTTATTCGACAAAAAAGCTTCACTCTTTCTCTCAATGAAAAACAAATCAAATTAACTTCAAAAGAAAAGTTGATCCCAAAAGCTCTTTTTCTTTCTTTCTTGTAATTTCATTAGAGAGACACATAACTTAATTTACGATGCAGTCAAGTACTTTCTGCGCCTTTTTAAATTATACTTAACAATTTTTAAAAATCCGGCAAATCCGCAAAAATTTGAGATTTAGGAGGAAGCTGAAAAAAGGCGGCTTGAAAAATAACATTTGAAAGCTAAGGTAGTTACTAGAAATCATTTTGCAGTCTTCCGGAGCTTTAGCAGAGGTGTATTCATGGGGGGGGGGCTATCGTGGCTAAGTCCCCCCTGGACCAGTGAAATCTATTGATTTCAGGGGGTTTTCATGCCCAATCGGGTGCTGAGCGCCCCCCCCCCAGGAAAGAAAAATATTTAAGCCCCCCCCTCCATTGAACAAACTCCTGAATACACCCCTGAGCTTCAGACACCATAGTTAGTAGAAGTAAATTTTTCCATTTACTGATAGCGCCGATTAAAGAATTCATAACCCTGATTGGATAATGAGATAGATAGAAAGATAGATGTTACCGTCATACTATTTCTTTTGGCTCAGAATAGACAACAAACATATGACTGAACCCTGATTGGATCAGGCGCTAATGGACTCGGCATACAGGAGTGCAGAAAATGAATTTACGGAATCAAATTGATCAGTATAAAGTAGATAATAAACCTATCAATATCTTTTTATATGAGAAAGCTTTTCGCTCATAAATATAAATTTACAAGTTCAAAGTTGAAATTTTTTTCTGTCAGGATTAATCTACTGATGATTGCTGCAAGGCATAAAACATCATGTATAAGTAAAATCCTGAAATATATATTTAAATGTTTCTATTTAAAACTGAATCTTTAAATATAAATATTTTTATATTATATGTTAGCTATAGCTGGCCTAACGGCTAAGCCAATTCGGCTGACATTTTTTGAGGAAACCCATGGGTACCCAAGGTGTAATATAGCCTAAAAAATTCAACATTACATGTTTTTTCAAATATCCATTTTTATTTTAAATTATATTTTTTAATTCCGCGAGCAACGCCGCGGGCTCCAGCTAGTACAGGGTGTCCCACGAAACATGACAGTATGCAGGACGTCTTGGATGTCGTCTTGATTTTTGATATAATTTGCTGCGTTTATTTGTCAACCTAATTTTAGAAGTAAATTTCTAGAGATAATATTCAAAAATTTCCCTTGTCCTGCCATTTCCAAAATGTGGTCTGCCTTTTTTGTGCTTATACTGATACCTGTAAAAATGCTGAATGACTTTTGTCTTTGTACTTTCTGTAACTTTAACAACTTTTATCAATAACAAAATCCTTACAAGCACTAAATAAAATGAAATTTTAAGCCAAAAAAAATAGACAAGCACAATGTGAATTTATTCATCACATGTATTTGATATGAGTCAGTGAGACTTCTCATCCGAACATAAGAGGTAAAAAAATATTATCCCAACCAAATAGATTCTAGTACAATAGATGGCAACTTAGAATTTGTACACTCTCAGTACAGTTGTAATCTGTCGTCACAAGTGTCAATTCAGTTTTTATGTCCGACAAAATAATCAATAATAGTGATAATTTTAGAATAAAGTGCTTTTCTTACAATAAAATAAGTGCAATTTTACATGTTCTTTAGTTTCTGTTTTACACTTTTTATTTAATCTTGGAAATCATGTCAGCTAATGTGAGACAATTTCGTTTTCCTTGTTATATTTGACACTTGTGACGTTGTGTATAATTGGTTCATTTCTCTGTAGCCACCTATTGTACTTGATGATCTATTTAATCCCAAAATAATTCTTTATAAACAATGATAAAAATTCTTAAGGAAGACCTAAGAAATAGGTAGTAATGTGTGAAGTAATATATTGAGATTTCTCTATTTCTGAAACTTGTTTCTGATTGGTTCAATTTGTATAAATACTTAAATACTTGATTATGAATGGTTCTATGTGAATAAATACTTAAATACTTGTTTTTGATTGGTTAAATTTGAGTAAATACTTTAATTCTTGATTATGATTGGTTCAGTGTGAACAAATACTCAATGCTTGATTCTGATTCGTTCAATGTAAAAATAGATTAAATACTTGATTTTTGTTGGTTTATACAATATTTTTAGGAACAACTGGAAGCCTGGTGATTCTGCTTTACACTGCTGGATTCTGTGTTTCAATGTTTTTAGGTGACACTTTTTAAACATTTTATTTACAAGAATTATTTGTCTCAATTTTGTTCTGTTATTTAATTTGATTCTAGTCTGTTAAAAATGCTTGTTTAAATCAATTGTTGTTTAAAAAAAATTTATCTGGATTTTTGCTTTCATTCCCAGGTATAGTCTTTGAAAGTTTTATACAGCATTTTTTAACCAGGTGCAATGGTTCCCTGGAACACTGTAATGCTGATTAACATAGCAACCCCTGTACTTTCTGTCATTATTCTACTCTTTATGAAGGTAATTATCAAATGTTAGTTATTTTCAAGTTGTTAATCTATTATTTGTTATTAATCCATTTCAGTCAGTAAATTTCAAAAGTTTGTTTGGAAAAAATCGTTTCTTTAGTAAAAAACTGAAAAACTTTTCAAAAGTTCATCAGGAAGATTTGTTCATTCTGTTAAAAACCTATTAATTTTTCAAGCTCCTTCGAACAAACGATTTAGAAGTTGTTCATTAACGGTTTGACTGATCTATGTTATATGAACAATTATGAGCGATTTATATTGTTTGGATTTTTTTCATTTATATAATAATTTCTTTAACTGCTCCCTTCATTTTTCCAATGTTTGCTAATTTTTCTGAACAAAACTATCATTCACCAAAAAATTAGTTTGTTTTGAAAAGTTTTTTCCTTTACAAAAACGAAGCCCATCTCTAATTATAAATATTGTATAATATTGAATTCTGAATTTGTTTTATTTTATCCTTAAAGAGTACTTATTCTCTGCACATAATCATTCTTTATAAGGAATCTCCAAGCTGGTTGCTCACCCAAGGTAGAAAAGACGATGCTCTAACTGCTTTAATGTTCTACAGGGAAGATAAAGAAGATGCTAGGTAAAGAAAGATTGAAGTTAGACCAATTAGCACAGGGGTGTATATTTTCTCGAAAAATCATTTACCCCCCCCCCTTTATTTTTTTCCGGGGATTTTTTGTGAGGGTAAGATTTTCTGAATTTGGGAAAATAAATTAACTTTAGGGTAAAGAATATAAAAATAATTAAAAAACATGCCTTTTGATTTTTTCATTTCTATTCATTTCTATTCATTTCTTTTCTTTTCATTTCTATTCTTTTCTTTTCATTTCTATTCATTTCTTTTCATTTCTATTTATTTCTTTTTATTTCTATTCATTTAAAAAATCATGCATTTAATTCTCAAAAATATACAACCCTGATATAAACCAGATTTTTTAGATGCATCATTGGCTTGATTATAAAAAAACAGACAAACCAAAAATTATCATACATTAGTCTTAGAACTTTTATTCTGACTCCAAAAAATAAAAGACTATTTCAAGCTAATAATTCTATAACTAAAGATTTAAGAATGGACTTAGGGGTGGGCACATTCCGACTTTTTTAAAATCATTCCTTTCACAAGGGCCCTCAGCTAGATGGTTCCGTCCTTGTTTGTTCTTTTTCCAAACATTCCATCCAGGTTCTGTTCCATTCCTTTGGTGGTGTTCTTTGTCGAGAACGGTTCCATCTCAAATGTTAATTATTAATGTAATTATCCTCATGGAACTCATCAGACACTCCCTAAAATAGAGATGGAAACGTTTTTAAAAAATATCTTTATTTTCTTAGGATTTATTACATAACTCTATATTTACACGGAAGGCAACATTGATTAAAGTTTTTTTTAATGAAACTTAAACCAAAGGGGACATGTGTAGGGGGACCCGTGCCCTCAGGTTCCTGATTTAAAATGCCTTCCCGACTTAGAACGCGTTCCTTATAATAAGAATGCGTTCCTGATTTTATAGTTCTTTTCAAGCATTATCCGTTTGTTCCATGTTTTTCTTTTAATAATAGTTCCAATATTTTTAAGAACGTGTTACTGTTCTATGTGTTCGTTCAATCATTCCGATATTTTTAGGAACATTTTCTATGTGTTTTTTTAGAACGGATCGTTCTTGATAATTCCGTTCGTTCTCGTAAAGAAGGATCGTTCCCCATGAATGACGCCCTAAGCACAAACCAAGGATATACAGAAATATCAATCACAATTTCTAGTTTGGAGTTAGAGAGAATTTTGAAGAATATTAAAGCTCTGGAAAAAGAAAGGGAAGCTACAGGTACAAATAAGGCCCAGATGATGTATTCAAATAATACTGGGATCTTAAAAATAACAAAAATTATCTGGGGAAGATAGAAGAAGTTCTATCGGGAAGATAGAACTGTTATTTTTTTAAATCAAAGGACTGTTAATTGAATCCTTTCTAGAGAAGTTAAGAAGGGGTTGTTAAGGTTTCATAATTTTTCAAGTTTTTTGAAAATAAACGGAAAATTAGTTAAAGGTACTGTGGTTGTAATTTTAAGTGACTCCAGCACGTGGATTTAACGGTTCTGTCAATATTCCAGAAAGCTGTGACTTTCGATCCCAATTTGACCCATTAAACATAATTGTTTAGCCTTTGTCTTTGATACTTTTTGTCAGCATATGCATTTTGAACGAAAAAGTTTAGAATAAACAAATCTGTAAGGTAAAAGATTGTTGAATTATAGACCAAAATACGTTTGATTTCAAATAGAAGAAACCGAATGCTGCGCACTCTGGTTAATCCGGGGTCCTACATTTAAAGGGGGTAGGCTCGAGTCACAACGGTACTCGTAAAAGCTCTGTCTGATGAGGTAGATGGAAACTGATTATTTTCATTTTTGGTTTCACAAAAAAAGTAATTGCACATTTCTAGCTTAAGAAACAATTAAAAAAAAGTCAAAATTAAATACTTTTCAAACCAGAAACATTATCTTCGATATTGCCTTTCAAGGGTACCGTTGTGAACCAGGCATGCTTTTTTTTAATGAACAGTCAATTGCAATTACTGCAATAGTCCCTTTAAAGAGACTGTAAATAATTTTAATAATCTTCCATTTAAAGATGGACTTACTGCTCTTAAATGTTGTGTAAAATCCTTTAACCAAAAGTGTACGCTACCGTATTGTGTGAACCCAGCTCGGCTTCCGTCACATTTATACCTTTCTTGAAAACAATAAAAGTGTAGGAAATCCAACAATAGTAAAAATTACAGACTTTTTCTTTTTTGGCTGTTTTTGAACTTATTTTAGGTTCCTCTATTTTATCCCAGCTGACGAGTAAGATGAGAAGGATGAGAGAAGCAACATTTTGGAAACCATTTCTTATACTCAACATGATGCTAAATATTGGTAGGATGATGAAAAATTCATAGAATTAACAACATAGAACCAAATTCTACAGCAATTGGAAATCTAACTTGAAATAAGTTTGACAATGAATGATTTAAAGCAGAACATCTTACTAAAAATTTAGAAAATGTTTTGTATTGCAATATGTTTGTAGTTTGAACATTAACATTAAACAACCATAAGGTTGGCATAGCTCCAATATTGATGACGCTTCCAGTATGCATTGATAACATTATGACTTTCCAAGGATTGGAGTGGGCTGGGTTTCCCGCACTTGCCTTCTATATGCACACAATCCTTGAAGAGACAAGTATCCCAGTAGATGAATACTGGGCTGCAGGATTTATCAGTTTATACAGGTTATTTATTATATCCCATCGTGCTCTCATGCCGCACTGCAATTCTATATAGAAAACGAAGGTTAGCCAAACCACTTGGATCGTTCAGAGAAATAAAAAAAATTACATTTTTTAAAAACAACCATAGGAAACAAAGATGAACGATTTTAAATCGATTTTTTGAAACAAACTAAAAAACTATAGGTTTTTACTGAATAAAACGATATTTAAAACAAACTTCACAAAAAACTATTGCTTTTTTACTTGCTCTTAGAATATAAACGTATTTCATGATTTTTTATGTTATTTGCTCTATTTAACATTAGCTTTATGGGTAAACATGTCTTTTGTTTTATGATAATAATACCTCACAAGTTTATAATCCAAACATTAAATTATTATTACATTTTCAAACCAAACCCTTTCTAAAATATTAACAATTCCTTGTTGACATTTCTGTTATACTTTTACATCTGTATTTCAAACATTTAGGTTTTGATCACTTGTTTATCAATATTGATGCCATGATGAACTGATTTAAATTACAAGGTTTTAAGTATTTACGATTTTAAAAAATCCCACATTTGCATTTGCAATGACTTTTTTGGGTTTATTTCCTTACCTTTTCTTATTTTTAGAGAACATATAATGATATGTGCTACCATGATCAATACAATCTTTATTATCTATGTTTCGTTATCTATTTTATCTATGTTCATGTTAACCCTGACCGGCCATTCCGGTCAGTTCTATTTACCTGTATTAATAAATTAGTAATGTATGAACCGTTGAATTATACGGACGTGTACTGTATAGAGCCTTGAGTTTTGGCTAGAGATAGAGTCAGTGAGACTAGAATTAGACTAAGAGACGAGTAATCTCGGGACCTAGATTTATTGCAAACATTACATAGTTGAAAAAATGTTTTAGTTTCTAGATACATCATGTTCATTAAATATTTAGCCTATACTTACATATCTACACAAATATATTGACATATTATTATAGAAATTAGTAAAAGCATCCTCCCCCACAGTCCTTTATTTCTCATTAAAAATGCATATAAACCAAAGAGATAATCTCGGGGAAGTAACATCTATAATTTATTATAGATAATATCTGAAATTATGATGTCAGAAAATCAATGTAAAAAACAAATTATAACATAATAATCTTCTTATAAAAATTTACATTGCTGCAAAAAAAAAAATTTTATGTTTTTTATTTTGCTGTAAGAAGCCTGAAAACTTAAAATTTTAAAGATTTTAAAATATTTTTCTATCGAAATGAAATTTAATTGGTTTTTCTTTTGTTTTTTAAAATAGTCCAATTTTATCATATTGGTGTACAAATTATATTTTCAAATTACGAGTTTACAAGTAAACATTTAATTGACAGCTTCTCTAAGTTCTATGTTTATGTGTATCCATACTGCTTAACACCTTGGGAATATAAAAATTTGAAATCGAAAGTTGTCTTCATTGTTTTAATAGTTACGACGACCCCGGTAACACTTTTAAAAATGATTTGTTTAAGGGCCCTGGTGACTCTGAGTCTTTCTTTTATCCTGGTGAAGGTTCCCCGTAGGGTGATGTACTTATCCTCTGGTATCCTGGTGGCAACTGCTCTCTTTATACAAGGAGCATATGCTCTTCTTGGGTAAGTGCACAGCAACTACATGCAAGACCAATCATTGCGTGATCCGGAGCAGTACAAGAATATTGGTCCAGTGATGACTTGTACCAGACCGTCTAGTACAACCCAGCGTGTAGTTGACCCAGCGCGTTTTCTGCATCAAATGTAACAGTGTTTTGTCAGTAAAAATATAAATGTGAAATTTTCCCTCAATGCATGTAAAAAAAATAGAAATAAAAATCATTTAACCTTTTCACATATTTAATTCTATTCTCGATACTTATTCTTATTTAGATTGTTTAATATTTATTGATCGGTTGCACTGTCTTCGGAAATTTTTAATTAATAAAATTTTCTTGTATAGGTCGTATGTTCCTGAAGAATATATCTATATATCTAGTTGGATTCCACTGTTTAGTATACTACTAGGATATACAGGGTTTGGACTTGGATACGGACCTATAACATTTATACTTCAAGGTATAGTATACTACTAGGATATACAGGGTTTGGACTTGGATACGGACCTATAACATTTATACTTCAAGGTATAGTATACTACCAAGATATACAGGGTTTGGACTTGGATACGGACCTATCACATTTATACTTCAAGGTATAGTATGCTACCAAGATATACAGGGTTTATAATTGGATATGGATACGGACCTGTCACATTTATATTTCATGGTATAGTATACTACTAGGATATACAGGGTTTATAATTGGATACGGACCTGTCACATTTATACTTCAAGGTACTTAGTTTAGACATTCGTGAGTGAAGACTCCAGGTCCTATTTTTTCACATAAGAAAAATTTTCAAAAAATTTTTTGTACAATCTCTATTTTAGGTGAAATTCTTCCCTCTGATATGCGTAGTTTTGGTAGCGGATTGTTGGGAGTTCTAGACAATGTATTCTTGTTTGCTGCAGTCAAAATGGTGCCAATACTGCTGTACAGGTACAGCTGATTAAATGTAAAGCGACTGTAAAGTGTACATATAATGTTCGATTTGCAATACAACCCTTTTAATCTTTTTCTGATCACTTATAAATGGGATATCCTTATTTATGCAGATGCAAAAATTATTGTTTTAATTTGTGGTCCTCATTAATTGTTACTCCAATCAAGGTTATAATGCAAGGAAAGTTAATTGGAGTCGCATATACTCTGGGTAAATATTGAAACCAGTTCTCTCTGGGCGGAATTTGTAAACAAGAATAGATGCATCAGTGTTCGTTTAGTATCCTATGCGGCTAAAAGCATTAAATTTTGAAAATTTTGATAATTCGCATAATAGTTTCCTATGACCAGAATATTTCATTGATTTTTTATGTGAAAGATGGATCCCATGTCAGGCTTCGACATCCGTCTTGTGTTTACATTACCACCCAGAGACAGTACACTGCAGTACAAAAGATGTGTACACTTCTGAAATAACTGTCCTTGCATTATAACCTTGACTTCGATAGAGGTCTTATGAAGTATATATTGTTGGGAATTTCATGCCATGCTCTTTAAACGAAGGGTCAATCGGAATTAAGTTTACAGTCCCTTTAAAGGGACTGTAAGGGAAAAATGAAAGGGAGTATAGGCTGAAAGCTAATCACTTTAGCTCTTAATCACGACCCATGAAAGTTATATCTGATGTTCCTGTCTCGAGAAATTGATGAAATTAATGTGTCAAATATATACGAAAATTCATATATATGCAATTTTGTAAAGCAATGGTAGATTTAAACAGATCATATTCAGCAAAAATATCCAGCCAATCTGAAAACGAAGATAATCCAGAGAAACCTAATTGTAACTTAGGTTTTCTCCAATTATTATTTATAATTTTTTATTTTAATTTTAATATGTATAATTGATAATATTATTTATAAGTCCGAATGACGTCTTCAGAACTCCCACCAATGGTATTGCAGTATACTGGTCACGTGATACAAACAGAGACACGTGACCAGTATACTGCACTCTTATTGGTGGGAGTTCTGCTGCATATATATGAATTTTCGTATATATTTGACACAGTTTTATATCAATTTCTTGAGACAGAAACATCAGATACAACTTTCACAATCATGGGTCGCGATCAAGAGCTTACTCGATTAGCTTTCAGTCTATACCCCCTTTCATTTTTCCTTTACAGTCCCTTTAAGATGTTTAATATTATTTTAACAGCTTGTTACACAATGCAATGTCTGTTAGTAACACTCAATGTGTATCCTTATTATGCATCCTCATAAATGCTTTGTTATAGTGTGCGCATATGTATAAGTGCATTTGCAAAAGTGTATAAGTGCTTCTGCATAAGTGCATCTGCGTAATTGCATCTGCATGAGTGATCTTTATGAGCACATCTGCATGAGTGCATTTGCATCAGTACATCTGCATAAGTGCATTTGCAAAAGTGTATAAGTGCATCTGCATAAATGCATCTGCATAATTGCATCTGCATGAGTGATCTGTATTAGCACATCTGCATGAGTGCATTTGCATCAGTACATCTGCATAAGTGCATTTGCAAAAGTGTATAAGTGCTTCTGCATAAATGCATCTGCATAATTGCATCTGCATGAGTGATCTGTATGAGCACATCTGCATGAGTGCATTTGCATCAGTACATCTGCATAAGTGCATCTGCAAAAGTGTATCTGTATCTGAATAAGTGCATATTCATAAACGTATCATATTCTTTAGAAACAGTAAGTGTTGATAGCTGTTGACCCCTATTTATATTAGTCTATTTTAAAACAATAATATCTGAATGATTTGTTTGGAATTAAATTGATTTGTTTACGATTCGAGTTGAATGTTGCATCTTTCTGAATTTGTATGGACGCTGCGTTCTTCGGTATTTGTCGTTTTTAACAATTTTCTCCTTATAGACGCAACAGATAGAAGTAAGATTAGTAGCGATCAAAAGCGCTTTTTTATCGCCTATACCCCCTTAAATTTTTCGCGAACACTCCCTTTAAGCTGTACTTCGAATGATTAAGTATTGGTATGTCCTATACACAACAATGCCCATACCATTTTTGTCAAGTATGAATTAGAAATCAATATTTATAATTTTGAAAATAGATTTTTTTTCAATCGTTGTTTTCTACATTTTTACTGCAGGATAACTTTGATAATATCTTCCACATTATTGATCAGCTAAAGGGTTCAAGGGTAAAGTTGTAAATCGATCATGTTACTTCAAATTACACCTACAGTCCCTTTAAAACATATTCCCTTGAAGTTTTGGGACTGGAGGAACATTTTTCTTGTACGGGTGTGTTTGTCTGGGCAACCTAACCATCTGCTTCTTCTGTATGCCTGAAACTAAGGTACATCATATTTGGAACATTTCAGGGTTTTTAATTATTGTCGTCTTCCAAGATCCATCTGAGAGTTTTGTCCTTTTTTGGACATCGGGAAAAAAGATATTTAATTCTAATCAACAATGTCTGAACTCATTATGCACAGAAGTTTTTTTAGAGGTTTAAATAAGGGATAAAGGAATTGAGTCTTTGCCACAAACTCTGCTTTTCTAAACCCTATATCTTTGGATTCCAATGTCGTAGACCTGAGATATTTCAAACTATGAATTCTGTTAGATCAAATAATATAAGCTTGAAATATCAAAGATTTACGACATTGGGTTCCAGAGCTATAGGGATTATAAATTCAGAGTTTGTCGCAGACTCAATTCCTTTAATGAAAAACAGATTGCTCCTGTTCATACAGTGGGACCCTTTAAAATATGAAACAGAAAGGCGACTTTAAAGCTATAAAGAACATTCTTAATTTTTTTTTATTTTAGGGTTTGAGCTTAGAAGACATTGAGGATTATTATAGAGGAGTTGTACCAGAGAAAAAAACTAAAAAGAACTCAGTCTAAACTATTTACATTTTCTTATTTTTCTTCAAAATTACTAACTCTTAATTATTCACATTAAGATGTTCTTGCAGTAATTGCTAGACTAACTAATTGTTTTTCTTTAATTTTCATTTTCTATTTTTTTACCACAGTTAACATTTCTTATTATTTGAAATACATATTTAATGATTTTATGATTTTTAGTTTTGTTTTCGAATTTTAAAACGAATGAATCATCGTTTTTTAGAAAGATATTGTTTATGATTGTTAACGAAGATACGGTCGTTATCGGTGTATAAACTCTAACACGCTTACTTTCGTCAACGAAACAGTAAAGAAAAAAATACTACCTCGTTTTTTTAGATAAACAAACGATTATTTTTAAAAACAGTCGTTTTGTATTTTGTTTTTTTCTATGTGGTTAACGATCAATTGGGTTTTAGAAAAGTGAAATTGATCCATCCCTATAGTTCAAATACAAATATTGGATTTTAACTTAATTAAAAACATTTTTCTACTGGATAAAGTATACCTTCATCTTAACTACTTATCTAAACTTAACTTTTTCCCAATAGAATCTTTTTCCATGGCGCAAAATAGTTCTTCAAAACTTTTTATATAGTTTTTATATGAAAATTATATTTTATTTGCAGATACTCGCATGTTGTTTGATATTAAAATAAAGTAAATCTTACTATTTTGAATCTGCCAGGATTTCATACTCAATAAACAAACAAAGATGGGAACTCATGTATTGTGGATATCAAGACTCCTACTTTGGGGGTGGGGATACGTTTTCAGAATTAGTTTTTTTTAAATTATTAAATAACGACAACGAAAAATAAAGTAAAAATTATACAGTAATCTAATTAGATGGTTAGGAACATATTTCTCAAAAGAAATTTGTTAATAAATCAATGCTAAAATTGATTATTTCGTTTTCATTATTATATTGAATTTCTAATTTTCTTTGAATCTATACGCAGATTTCTTCAAATTCTTCAAATGTCGTCTTTTCAATAATAATTCTAGAAAATCTGCGAAAACTTTGTGAAAAATGAGTAACCTGAGTTGGGAACTTTTGAATTGTGGATATCGGGATTAATGCTTGATCCACTCTTTTTCTAAATCTCCAGAGCTGGGAACTTTAGAATGGATAAACTTTAATCCTGACTTCTTGATCCGAATATCCACTGTGGAAACTTTTCATTTTAGTCCTTAATCCACTCTTTTTCTCTCTCCTTGGATATCCGTTAATTGTTTTCTCCAATGAGAATATTTCTGTTATCTCATTGGTTGCCCGCTTTTCTCTGATTGGCTGCTACAGTTTCTCAGATGATTAAATATTAATTTGAATTATATCGTTTTTCATACACTTTTAAGATAATCTTGCAAGATTATGTTAATCTGGAGATTAAGAAAAAGAGTGGATCAAGCATTAATCCTGATATCCACCATTCTAAAGTTCCCAGCTCAGAATAATGAGATAATAGAAACTAATAATTGAACAAGATTACTTATTTTCGATGATAAGATTAATTTTTATTTTCTCATCATGTTCCTATATTTTTTTTCCTATACTTTTTTACATTTTAAGTCGTCGTTATTTAATAATTAAAAAAAAAACTAATTCTGAAAACGTATCCACCCCCATAGTAGGAGTCTTGAACATCGAATCTACGCTCAAACTCAGGATTTACAGATCTTTAAAAAGTTTAATATGTCTCAAATGAATCCGAAAGAAGCTTTCCACAACACTGTATACTCAGTTTAACTACCTTACATAGCCGGTCACTCCCATTAGATAGAAAAACTAAAAAGGTTTCGGCCATATAAAAAAGTATTATATATATTTATTATATATATATTTCGGCGATCACAGCGAATAAATACCAGAAAGGAAAGTACCCTTTTATAAGGAGAGAATAGATGCCATATCCCTCTCCAATTTTGGTTCGTCTCTTTAAACCCCCTGGCATCACAGGCACCATTGTGAATCCGACATGCCACTTCGTACATGATATATCACTTAAAATTACGTCTGCAGTCCCGTAAAGAGGTTGTAAAGTTGGTTTTATTAAACAATGATCAAATTAAACCGATTCATGCCTTTTTCAGTTGCAATTCTTTTAAGGCAAAGTAAATCGTTCTCTAGGAAATGTTCAATTGTAACCAAATTTAACATACAATTTTAAACATTTATTAAATGAGTTATCAATTTATCAATGTAAAATCAAGAAAGTTCCGATTATAAACTTGCATTTATCAATACAGTACATATATAGCAGAGTAGATCAGTTTTCCATTGTATTTAAACAATGAAAGAAGTAGGATGGTTAAATATGAAACTTTTCATTATAAAATACTATTTACTTTATTTAAAAGTGACACCTTTAAAAGGTATCTTTTATTTTGAAATGAAAAATTCTCCATCGAAAATAACATTGTTTTGTACTTCCGGCCTTGTATCGTGTCATATTGCATATAGATCCAAGTACAGCATTCTTCAGTTATCTTCCTAATATGATTCTCAATTCGATCCTAACAATATTTATTGTTTTTATATCACAGGAATCTCAGATTTAAACTCTAAATACATAATTTTAAAGGAACTGGGCTGGGAACTTTAGAGTGGTGGATATCGAGATTAATGCTTAATCCTCTCTTTTTACTAATCTCGAGACTATCTTAATCTTGTACTTGTATCCTGGAAACTGTATAAAATTCAACCAATTAGAGTCGCGTATCAGAAGCCGGTAAATTTGAAATTTTGCGCGCCATTTAAGTTTAATATACAGAAACGGGGAGGACTCTTTATTTTATAAAACCTGTTTTTGATTTTTCTGTACTATATCCAAAAAGAGTGGATATGGCAAGAAATCAAAAGAGTCCACATTGGATATTCGGATTAAGCAGTCGGGATTAATGGTATCCCATTCTAAAGTTCCAAGCTCTGTATATGTAATTACAAGTGACTCTCAAATATCCAATGTCTGATTCACAACGGTACCCATAACGATAACTATCAAATCTAGAATGAATGAGATATCCAAGGTTTTCTTGTTGAAAAATGAAAATCTATCGTGGTGCCTCTATGAATTTGTCCAGCGGATTTATGCTGCAGAAGAAATTGCAGGACTTACAACATTAAAAACGACAATAATTACATTTTCTCCATTTTTGATCAGTTGAAGGTTTAAAGGATCGAGGCCCTCAACTCTTTAAATGGAGGGACAATTGAAATTACAAAAACCCAGAGGCCGAATTTAAAGAATTTGAGCCGCGGCTTAAATTTGAGATGCAAATCAAATATGGTTGTAAAAATTGTATTCAATGTTTCAAGATTTAAACCAGTGCTCAATGGAAACCGGTTTTTGGCTGATTTGAGACGCGGCTGTGATTCATTAAATTCGGAGTAGTATTGGTGTAATTCCAAGTGATCTTCAATTAGTTGGATGGAGTGTCTGATTCACATTAACAACATCCTTTAATCCTTAGACGGATCAGTGAACAAGGATGTCGGGCTTAACAATTATTAATCTTATTAATCTACAGAAGTGGTTTTTATTTGTTGATTTTCAAGCTGTTTTATTTCTAAGAAAGAATACTATTTCAGGGTCCATGTAATTCCATTTCTGATCCCAAATGGGATCGGGGTTGAAAGTCAGGGGGATGATAGTTTCCTACCTGTGTGCTCAGTTAGCTGTACTGTACACTTACAACTGTTTACTAATAATGATATACTATAGGCAGAGATAAGAGAGTTACAGAGATCGATTAACATAACATAAAAAATCAATGAAATATTCAAGTCATAGGAAATATGTGAATTATCAAAATTATCAAAATTTAATGCTTTTAGCCTCCTGGGATACTAAACGAACACTAATGCATCTATTCTTGTTTACAAATTCGGCCCAGAGAGAACTGGTTTCAATATGTACGCAGAGTATACGCAACTGCAATAAACTTTCCTTGCATTATAACCTTGATTGCACATAGATTATTCCGTATTTTCGATTTAATTATCTTGGGCTATGTTGAGTTCAGACTCCTGTTTTACAGTTTAAAAACGAGAGAAATCTTTATCATCAGTTAAAGGTTTACAGAGTATCGTTGTAAACAGGGCATTGTTATAGAAAATCACTTGAAATTAGAACTTCCGGTTGCAAAGATATAAGTTCTTTCTATGCATATTTGTATGTACAGTTGTCATCGTACATATCAATACATTGAAGACGACTTCAGATTTCAATTTAGATTTCTACCAAGCGTTCAAACACCAAGGATACACATAAAAAATTAATTTACCGTCTCTTTTTTTACATGTAAATATGTAATTTAAAAAAATTTGTTAGCAATCAATACTTAAATCAAAAAGTCGTCTTCATTGTATTGACGCTTACTAACTGCACTGTATGTCAACTTTTTTGTTTTTACACATTATTTGTTTTTGAAAAAACTTCTATGTGAATAAGGAGTTTGTATTGAATGCAAATTCATTGTTACAAAATCATACTTTTCATAAATTGTATTTTCTTTTATTTTTATATCTGAGATCTAGGGGAAAACTACTTTAGAGGATCAGTTCAGGTATAAAAGGCATTCTTTCCAAACAAATAATATCATAAAATCTGTTTATTTTTTGCAATTTTTACATCTTTTGCCACGAAAACTTGATTTTTAATAATCATGTTTATTTTTCCAAATATGCCAAATTGGTTCCTATATATATCGATGAAATATTTTTGTAAAATATCTAGAATAGATTTAATATTTGGATTAAAACAATTATAGAGAAAGTCTAATGTTCTGCAACTCAATATTTAATTAGAAGCAATATTTATAACAGAAAAAAATAGAAAAAATCAAAGTAAATAACTATTTAAAAATACACAAATAATACGGATAGTTAGATTTTTCAATTGTTTCCAAACATGTTGATATGGGACAGAGGTATTAAAAGATGCGTCTTTAACTTCTGATTTCCGCAAAATTTTCGATATTTCAAAAATTGTTTGATTTAATGCTAAAGTTTTTTAATACTCTGCCAAATATTATTACAAAAACCCGTTTTTATTTTTATAAATTAATACTTTTTCAAAATATTTTTACGATTTTAATGTCAGTGTTTTCAGACGGACATTTTGATACCCTTCTTGATTTATTTTGACGATTTTTTTGTTCTGTCTTAGTCATTTCAGTCATTTTATTTACACAAACAAAGCAAAAAGTTTAATGAGTTTGAAATTTTGAGAAAAAAAAATACTATATATATTTTTTTAACTGTGTCAAAGCAAACTTTAGAACTGATGCGAGGTGGATTTGAGCATTTTTATCAAAAAAGGGCTTTTTTCAACCTTACTGTAATATTTATATTATCTAGTTTAGCAAATTTCCTTTCCGTAAAACCACCCCCACAGTAGAAAATAATATATTTTTAACTTTAAAAATATTTCTTTATTTTGTTTATGGATTAAATTTGATTAACAATATCTTATTTTTTAACGAAATAAATGTGCACAAATAAAACTGAGAAATTGAAAAATAGCATATATTGGATACTTAAAAAATGCTGATAAGAGTTTCTAGTAAAAAAACAACTATTTTTAGTGTTATTGAGAAACAGGAACTTAACAGAGGATTGATAAGGGATTTTATAAATATCACATCTATTAAGACATTTTTTTTTCAAGGTTAATTACCAATTTATCAGTTGTAGAAATGATAAAATTGAATATTAAATGTGATTTTTATGAATTAGTCAGAGAATATTTGGAAACCCAGGTAAAAATAACAGTTTTCAAAAAGAATATAAATATAAAAATATGTATTTTTTCTAGGACCTAGAGCCCTTCCTGGAGTTGTCGCTCAGGAATTGCTGTTAATTTGTCTTAATATTGACCACTAGCTCAAGTAACCGACGTTGCCCATGAAATAGAATTTTGAAAAAAATTTATTTAAAAAATAAAATCAATTTAAAAGAAGTTGAATTTTATCAGTCCTGGTTTCCCTCAAAAACATTCAACCAATTTGGTCCAGCCGTTTGGCCAGCTATGGCTAACATATATATATACAAATACATATATATTTATGAGCAAAGAGCTTCTTTTTTTTTAAATATTCATAAATATTACATACACCCCTCTTACATTTGTTGTTCTTGTTTTGATGAAAAAGACAAATTTCGAAAGACATACTATTAAAGGGACTGTAAGCCAAATTTCAAATGAGCTTTCATGAAAAGACGACAATGCCTGATTCACAACTGTACCCTTAAAAAGCTGTAGTTATCAGTTACTTGCGCATTTCTACTGCAGGAAAAAACATAGGATTTATCTAAAGTAAACCCATATTTTTAAATCCCAATATTTTTGCAACCTGATGGTGTAAACCTTTGCTATTTCAAACTTAGATTATTTGATCTAAAAGAATTCATAGTTTAAAACATTGGGTTGCAAAGATGTAGGGATTAGATAATCAGAGTTTGTGACAAAGAATCAACTTAAAAAACCAAGCTAAAAACATATCCAAGCAAAGATAACAACCTTATATTCATAGAGATATTGAGGATAACATTTAATTGAAAATCAATAAAATTAATAAAATAACTGCAATATAATTTAAAGGATTCGACCCCAGCACCTGGTAAGGGTACATTTTTTACAAATTTAATGCACTGGTTGAATTTTTTAATAAATTTTTATTTTGTCAATAATTAGCCAAATATTTCCTTTCATGTCAATTAAAATTGAAAGTATTAATTGCCCAAAAATATTCTGTTTAAAAAAGAAAGCATTTAATAACAAAGTGCATTTCAAGTAAGACATCTATTAAATAGATAATTTATGGCAAATTACCCAAACTCTGACTTTTATGAATCATAAAAATAAACATGTGCAAATTTTATTTCAGAAAAAGCAGGAGACAGCAATGCTACAGCTACAACTGAAGCAACAGCAGGTGGAAAAAATATCAACTCCACAACAAAAAAAGAAGGAGTAAAACCTGAGACAGCTAATGCTACTTCTTCTGGAAATGCTACAGAGGAAGTGGCTACAGCTAACACAACAGCAACAGATGCTGCAACAGAACCTGATCAAAAAGTTGATACTGTCAATGCAAATGAAACACTGAATGCAAACACAACTAAAAATGGCACGGCAGAAGCTAAACCTAGCTCAAAGGAAGCTGGGACGGATTATTCAAATGATGATGAAGAAATTGATACATCATCTAGTTCTACTGCAGTTGCTGAGACCAACTCAAATGTTACAAATTCAGAAAATATTACAACTGAGGAACCAGTAACTAAAAATACTAAGAATGGCACAATTGATGAAAATCCTGCAGTAGAGAATGGTACAGCTAAAGCAGAAGATGTTTCAGATGGTGAAAAAACAGAGGCTGTTACCGAAGTTGAAAAAGAGAAAACTTTGTTAGAGGAAAAGGCCAAAGAGTCAGGGAAAGACTATTCTGCAGATGATGATGAGGAAAAAGAAGAAAAGTCAGATGGAGATGATTCTGAAGATGAAGTTAAAAAATCTGATAAGCCGGAGGACGATGAAAAGAAGCCAGAAGAAAATGAAGAGCCTAAAGACGATGAAAAGAAACCAGAGGAAAATGAAGAGCCTAAAGATGATGAAAAGAAACCAGAAGAAAATGAAGAGCCTAAAGATGATGAAAATAAACCAGAAGAAAATGAAGAGCCTAAAGACGATGAAAAGAAACCACAGGAAAATGAAGAGCCTAAAGATGATGAAAAGAAACCAGAAGAAAATGAAGAGCCTAAAGATGATGAAAAGAAACCAGAGGAAAATGAAGAGCCTACAGATGATGAAAAGAAACTAGAAGAAAATGAAGAGCCAAAAGACGACAAAAACTCCTCTGAGGATAAAAAAGACGAAGCTGATCTAGATAAAAATGATGATGAAGAAAACAGGATAGAATCTAATGCTAAAGAAGAGAATGAAAAGAAAACAGACTCTGAAGATGCAAAGGAAGGAAAAGAAGAAAAACCTGAAGAAAAAGAAAACTCCAAGAATGAAGAAAGCTCTTCTAAGGAAAATGAAGACAAAGAATTAGGAGAAGGTGAGGTGAAAGGTGACGATGAGGTTGTGGTAGAGGAAGCAACCAAAGATCAGGAAAGCCCTGCAAATGAGAATTTGCCTTTTAAAGAATTACAAAAAGATATTGAGGAGGAAAAAGAAAAAATGGAAGACATGGAAATGAAAGTCAACAAAATTAAAGGTGAAGAAGAAAAAGATGGAGAGAGGAAAGATGAAGAAATATCTAATGACGAGGAAGCCAAAAAAGAGGAAATGAAAGATGAAGACATAAAAGATGAGGAATCAGTGAATGGTTTGAATCGAAGCGGGGCTCTGTTAGATGAAGCACCAAATGAAGAATCATCCAGTAAAAATGAAACAGAAGAGGTATTGAGTATTTTTTTAATTATTGTAGCCATGAAGGCTTGCAAAACAATAAACAATTGATATCATACACTTAATGCACTCAAGAGATGTTTACTAAAACATAAAAAAATATATTTGTTTTCATTTAAGTAATTTTTCAATAAAAGAATTATAAAACTTATTTAGGTTTATTGTATGAGAAACAATAAAAAAACATTAACATTTATTTGTACAGATTTGTTTTATTAAATCCATTCATTTTTTACAGGTAGAATCAGAAAATAGATCAGCTCCAGGTTGGAACTCAAATTCTCTTAAAAATAAATCTTTAAACTTGAAAAAAACTGCAATTATCAAGAAGAGATTTTTTTTAAATGTCAAAATGTGTTCCTGAAGTGTAAGTTCTGTAATAATTGACACTTTTAATTCATCATCTTTTGAAAAATGTATTAAGATGTGTCAAAAAATCTTCAATGTTTGTCTCCAAGTTTTTCAAGACAAAAGCAATAACAACTATTAAAAGATGTAGCAATAATGTATTCATTACAGTTTTGATTTTTTTTACTTGAGGTGTGGGTGAAACTGAAATATCCATAGAGAGGGGAGAACATACGGTAACATTTTTTGACTGATAGTTTATATTATATCATTTATAGCTGATTTTTTAAAAACCTTTTAATTATTTTTTTTTCTTCATTTTTTTCATTGATTCTGGGTTAGTTTTCTTTGTAAGCAAAATGCACTTTGGGTCATATACTTTTCTTCTTCTAGGATATCTTTTAGCCTTATTTAAGATCATAGGAAAATTACAAAATTAAACACAAAATTTTTACAAAGTTTCTATTCTTTTTTGTTCTGTTTCAGTTGGTGGGTTGCTCTGAATTTATTGAGATGATCAATGAAAAAATGGAATTAAATATTTTTGTTTTGTTTTATCATTTCTGAGCTCTGTTTTAAATAATAATGTCTACAATAGGGATTACAGTTTTTTGGTAAAAATAATAATTTGTGTCCAAATTTATGTTTTGTAGGTTTCTTTAAGTGATAATGAGATCAACCTTATCTCTACTTTAATAAGTGCACAAGTTTCAAAACTCTCAAAGCTGGCACAGAAGCTGGAGAATGCAAATGAAAACTCTGGAAACCTAACAATTGACTCAGATTCAATGGATTCAATGGTAATAAAATTTACCTTAAACCCAATCCGCGCTGCACCAGAGTAAAGAAATTGAGTATTTGACATAACACTTTTATTAACAAGAATTTCCTTTTTTTTGTTAATTATGCTTATTATGGTTTGCTTTTTATGGGCTGAAAAGGATTAAGCAAAATAGGCCAGAATCTTGTACGAAATATCTATAAATTAGATGTGACATAAAGCAAAACTTGAAACAAAAACTCAATTCCTTTGTATTCAGCATCATTCTGTGCCAACTATAGAGAACATTTCAAATTTTAAATTTATAAATTTGTATGTTATTAGCTGTCCCTTGAACTCTAACAGCACAATTTAACCGTGAAAACAATAAAATTGTACAGTTAGATACTAGTTTCCATTTCTTACCATTTCAGCCCATTTTAGCTATTTGTGTTCTAAGCACTTCAAAAGTAACAAGAAAAAATTATTTCAGGGGAACAGAGCATTTGGATTCAGGCAGAAGGAATGATCAAATCGCTTGAAAGATATATAAGCAAATTAAAAATTACCAATTTTATATCTTCATTTTTTTCTCAGTTTTTTTAAAAAACTATTACAGTACTTCTATATATAAATTTGGCTTGTCTGTCTGGGTGTTTGTTTGTTTGTTTGTCTGTCTGTTTGTATCCAATAAACGTCAAAACGGCTGAACCGATCGGGCCCAAATTTTTTGTGGGACATCTAGGGACCCCAGGGAAGGTTTATGAAAAATCAAAATTTTCAAATATTTGTCTCCATCAAAATTTGATCGTCATTAAATTTTTAAAAATTTTGAAAATCCGCGAAATTTTTTGTGAAAATCCGCGAATTATTTTTGTTTAGTTTTACGATGTACACAATGAGAACATGTTCACAACTAATTTAGAAGATGGGCGCGAAGCGCCCTCTAAGGCTAGAAAGAAGGGTGCGAAGCGCCTTGAATTTCTAGTGTTTATAAAAAATACTACGATTTTTTGGTACTAAAATTCCTATCCCAAGTAGCCATAATAATTTATTGCTTTTAGCAACAAAACCATTATTTTTTTTTGTAAGAGATATAATTTAGAATTAAGATTGTACTTGATAAAGGATTAGTTTTAGTTTTATACAGACTGTATAATTGTGCTAATAATTCTAAGAGATACAGAGATATGAATATGATCAAAACCACAGAGATCTGATGTAAAATTATCACCGTACCTACAAGAAAATAATGAGCAGATTAGAGGAGTGCCTCAATTCTCAAGCTCTAGAAAGGTAAACAGTAAAATTATCCATAGCTTTAAGCCAAATAAAATTGTTTTCAGCATTTGATGGCACATATTTTTGGTTAAATAATTTGCCAATTTTGATCTTTACAAAATGTAATATTTTGTTAAAACCTTGATTTTGGTGTCTTGATTAGTTTAAAGTTTTTGCAAATAACTTTTACTAAATATGTATCACAATAATGTCATGTCATATCAAGTCTATAGAAAATATAGTAAGCAAATAAGATTATTTTAGAGGTTATATTTGTTTTCTTATTTTTAATTGACTTCACAGAAAGTATGACTTATCAATTTGCAACTGAAATGTTTTTTTTAAGTGCCTTGAAATTGTAGTAACCAGTTTTTACTTTAATATTTAATGGCAAAGTTAGTTTTATATTTCAAAAAAATCTATTTATTTTCAGGGTGTCAAGTGCAAGTGCGGGGAAGGCTTTCGCCCACAAAATGCACTCAGATCTTTTCTGGATTCAGGTAAGAACATCTGTAAAGAATGAGAAAAATTTATCACCTAAAACTATTATTTATCATCAGGAAGTACAGTTCTTGGTAACATGTCTGTGAAGCTTTTCAAATATTGTATATTTAGATGCATTGAGAGAGAAAAATAATGCAAAAGCTCATAAAACTAACCTTTTAATGCTCATCCATCTGCACTTCTCATTTTTTGTATCTTTCATAAAAAAATTTAAAGTTTCTTGGACTATCCTCTCTTAGCCCTATATAGCCTGACCTCTGGTTTACTGACTGGCTGCCTGTTTTCTTATTGTGATACAAATCTATAACATTTGATACGTTTTGGACTCTACATCGATAATCTGCAAAAAATGCCAAATTTGCAAAAATCCAAATATTTCTTGTGAAATCTAGTTATAAAAAAATGTGCAAAAAATAAATTGCAACAATTTAAACATTTTGTTAAAAAACCCTTGACTTGCAAAATTTTTAAAACCTAAATGTGTATTCAAGAAAAACTGAAAATGTTCAAATTTCCTTTAAAGATGTCTGTAAAAAAATTTTGTGCAAATTTTCTTTCCAAAAATTTGGGATCCACTTGCAATTGTTAAAGTCTTTCCAAAGAGTTATAAGACGTTGAAATCTAATAGTTGGAAATAGGTCTAAATATAGATTCAGTCAGTAAATATAAAAGTCCTGCTTTAATCCTTGTGTGAGGGGAATGTGTTAGTTAGAAAAGCCAGAAAATTGGAGCTTCCTAGCTCAACTACTTTTTGAGTTATCACAAAAAAACGAAAAATTGCCTGCCCCCCAGGCCAAAGAGGGTTAATTGGTTAATTTGGTATATTTCCAAGTATTAAAGAACATTTTTGAATTTTTACCAGCTTTAAACCTTCACTGCGGTCATGTGAGGTCCCACAAAATATATGGGCCCAATTTGTTTAGATGTTTGACAATTAAAATTTATTGTATAAACACAAACAAATCAAAAGTACATCTTTTTTTGAATCTTTTTTGGAAACTCCTTACATCTTCCATTTTTGTAATATTTTCAATCATTAAAATTCTTTACATAATATTACTCAAATATTAGGTCTTTTGGATTTATAAAAATTACAAAAAATCATTGTATCTTTTTACTTGACCAAATATTAGTAAAGTTGCAGAGAGAACTAAATCAAACCTGTACATCTCAGGAAATAAATGCAAAAGCAAAAATTGGTTTGATTTGTAGGTTATATAGCTTTATGTGTCTAGAGAAATATGTGAATAAAACACATTTCAGCTTCTCCCATGGTCAGCTTTAATGCTAGCACTTTTAAAATTTTTGCAAATTATCTAGAAGTTATGATAAACAAGTTCACTATTTTGATCCGCATATATATTTAAGGCTTTTTAAATGAGAATCAAAGAAAAAAAATTTTCTTCCTATTTTTAGCCCAAAAAAGCCATAATTTTCACAATTATGGGTTAATTTTGTAAAATATAGGAGAAACCGAGTAGAAACATTTAATAAACAAATTACCAAATCTGTTTATCATGATTGTAAGAAAATTCCTTGATGTTTTAGAAAGCTCTATGTTTAAATCTAACCATGGGAGCAACTCGAATGTGCTTTTTGCTAGAACTACATAACCTACAAATCAAGCCAATTTTTTGCTTTTGTATTTTTATTCTTGAATGTACACATTAGATTTAGTTCTCTATGTAAATTAAATAATAATTGGTCAAGTAACAATACACAATGATCTGATTTTTTGTACAGTTTGATAAATCTAAAAGACTTAATATTTGAGTAGTGAATAGTTTTAGTAATCATTTTAACATTTTGATGTTGCTTCCCACACCAACATTTAGCATCGTATATTATAAAATATTTTATACAGATTTTCCTGTTTTCATTAGAAAACTAAAATTTAAAGTGGCCTGCTATAAAACTTTCCCTTGTGAGTTCTAAAAAAATTGGGCTTGATTAGTTCTGCCGTATTGAGTTTCATTGGATACCTATTCTAAAGTTTTAATTTTAGAATTTATGAAATCCCGAAAGAAAAGAGAAACTGAAGGATCTGAGATGAATGGAGAAGCTAATGAGGAGAACAAACAATAATTTTTTTAAAAATCAAATTGCGCTTTTGTGAAAAATGATTGTTTCTTTTTACAAACGATGAAGAAAAAACGAAAAACGAAGCGGTCGTTTTTAGAATTGACTGTTAAAGACTACCCTTTGTTAACTATCAGTAATTATCTTTTTAAGATAAAATACATTTTTGGGACAGAAAACCCTTAGATCAGAAAAACCTTAGGTCAGAAAACATTCAGGTTATTTCTCGTGATAAAAAACCTTTTAAAAAAACATTCATAGACTTATCTTCCAAAAAAATTTAAATTAATTGTCATAAAATTCAAATTCATTAGCAAAAATGCTTTAAACAACGATAAAAAGCAATAGTATTTGTCTTTTAAAAGTTCAAAATGATTTGTTCGTTTGATGTGACCAATCCTTTTTCTAAAGACTATACAAATATTTTTAGAAAAAATGACTGCTTTAAAAACGATTAACAACACTAGCTGAAATAGCACCAATCTTAAAGAATGTGTTTACTTTGAGTCCCATGAGGCCTTAGCCTTGGATTTTACCTTATTTAAAATTTGTTGTAGCCATAGACAAGCACTATTCATAGCACTTTTTTACAGCTTTAGTTAATTCTAATTAAATTTTGCATATATATTGCAACATTTAGATCCATGTGCGCACAGAGAGAAGTAGCCTAAATAGCCATTACTAACTTAAATATTTCATGCTTTTTGTTAAATCTAATATACAAGTTTTAAACACTATCTAGCTACAATTTTATATAGACAAATAAAAATAACGATTTTTGATTTGTTTCTAAATAAATTTCAAGTAATAAGAAATTTCTTTCCATATTATATAAAACTACTTTAATCTAGCCACTTCAATCTAAATACATACATATCATATGAGACAAAATTAAGAAATATTCTTATTTTTCAGTAAATGGATATTCTGTTCAGAGGAAGGAATATTATGTTGGAATGGAGGTAATGTTTTTATAGAAACATCTTATTATAACATTTACTACATAAAATGTCATATCAGATAATATTTTAACAGTTTACTTCAATACTTAAAAAATTACTAAAATACTTAAGAAAACAATATCTATTAACATTCTTCTGTACATTAAAATAAATTCAATCTTAAAAATTTCAAATAATTTAAATCTCTTTATTTTTGTTCAGATGAAAACGTCAAAGAAAATTGTGTGTGGAGCATCACTAATCAGTCCGCGTTATGTTTTGTAAGTTTAAAAGATCACTGAATGAATTTATTTAATTTAAAATGATCTTCTTAAAGATCTGCAGCTCACTGCTTCTGCGCTTCTGGGAAAGAGACTTACTGTAAACAATCATTTGTTGAATCCGATCATGTTCTAAGGTAGGATACTTTGGTATTAAAACAAAATTTATCCAGTTTTAAAGGTCTTCTGATGATTATGCACAAAATTTTGATAACAAGATCATTTGTAAAAAGAAAAAGCCAGAACCAATTTTGTGTGAGGCAATGACTTTTTAGCAAAATATTGTACCCCTGAACCTACAAGAAATTTATTTGTTTAGTTTAGTGATGGGTGCAACTATTTACAACAGGCGGGATGGAACAAGAACATATGAAATTGAAAGTGTTAGGAAAGATGTTTATTTACAAGTCAAAGATATCAAAATCAGAACAAAATCTTTTATGACAGTTTTTACCTATTCCAGCTAGGAGGGTGGGGGTCCCTTGGACCCCCTGGAGGTATCTCAAAAACTATTTGTCTAGGGCAGTTCAAATCTTTTTACTTTTCTAACTAACAAATGCCCCTCACTTTAGGCTCAGATCTCCCAGCATACTGTCTGATTCTCTTCATTTTTGTTAAGAAATTTCGCATAGATTTTTAAAGAGAATTTGTACATTTTCAGTTTTCCTTAAATACAAATTTTGTTTTTGAAAATTTATCAAATATTTTTGCATATTTGAATTTGCCGTGGTAAGGGCCTTTTAAAAATATATAATTTATCTTATTTCGGGCACTTTTTGTTTTTGCTCATTTTTTTGCTAAATAACTTGATATTGCAATAAATATTTGAAATTTTGAAACTTTGCAATTTTTTTTGCAGATTATTTGAAAAAAACCCAAGGGCTTTCAATAAGTATATCAACTGTTATAGATTTGTATAGACTTGTTTTGGTAAACCAGACTTTAGCCTGAATAGGTTTAATACTTGTTTTGGGGAGGAATGTGATCAATATCTTTCACAGGCAACCAGAAGAACGTATTAAGTTGTATAAAAGAGGAAGTCTCGCAGGACCATTTGATGCCGCATTAATCAGAACAACAGAATATGTCATTTTTGAACCAAATAAAATCATGCCGGTAATTTAGGGGCCATAAATAAAATTTTTAATGGCAAAAAATATCTTTAATTCTCCCTTTTGATTGTAATTGCTCCTCATTTGCGATAAAAAATATTTGCTTAAAGGGAGTGTTCGTGAAAAATGAAAGGGGGTATTTAATGCGATAATAAAGCGCTTTTGATCGCTACTAATCTTACTTCTATCTGTTGCGTCTATAAGGAGAAAATTGTTAAAGACGTCTCATACCGAAGAACGTAGCGCCCATACAAATTGAGAAAATTGCAACATACGACTTAGACCGTAAAAAAATCTATTTAATTTCAAACAAATCATTCAGATATTACAAGCAGCAGTCATGGATTATCTTTCCCCACATTTGCATATAGTTTATATTTTATAATATTTTTTAACTAATTTGTTTTGAATTTCATTATTTCTCTTGTAGCTTGCGCAACTATCTAAGAATACCACGCACCACTCACATTTTTCGAAATCCGTTAAAAATGTTTTCTAAGAAAGTAAATGTAAAAAACTTAATTAAAAAATATTATAAAATATAAACTACTAGTCTTATAGGGCGCGCCCATCTTCTAAATTGATTGTGAACATGTTCTCTTTGTGTACATCGTAAAACTAAACAAAAATAATTCGCAGATTTTCACAAAAAATTTCGTGGATTTTCAAAATTTTCAAAAATTTAATGAAGATCGAATTTTGATGGAGACAAATATTTGAAATTTTGATCATTCATAAACCTTTCCTTTGGTCACGTGATGTCCCACACAAAATTTGGGCCCGATCGGTTCAGCCGTTTTGATGTTTATTGGATACAAACAAACAAACAGACAGACAAGCCAAATTTATATATAGATATACAAATGTGGCGAAAGATAATCGATGACTATAGGTTGTAATATCTGAATGATTAGTTTGAAATTAAATAGATTTTTTTACGGTCTAAGTCATATGTTGCAATTTCCTCATTTTGTATGGGCATTACGTTCTTCGGTATGAGACGTCTTTAACAATTTTCTCCTTATAGACCCAACAGATAGAATTAAGATTAGTAGCGATCAAAAGCGCTTTTTTATCGAATTAAGCCTATACCCTCTTTCGTGAACATTCCCTTTAATAATACCAATAGACAAAGGATTTGAGTCTTTGCCACGAACTCTGATTTTCTCATCCCTATATCTTTGCAACCCAATGTAGTGAACCTTAGATATCTTAAACTATGAATTCCTTTAGAACAAATTCAGCTCATTCAATGTTGCTACAACGAAAATTTTTTGTTTGTGATCTCAGCAAAAAAATAAAAGTTTTAACAAATAACTTATTGTTTTGCCCAGGTGTGTCTTGGCCGGGTTGGAGATACCAACATTGATGCATTTGTAACTGGCTTTGGAACTTCTGGTTCCATAGATTGGAACACAATGGCGGTGGCTTGTTGGACTGACCAGTATGGACCTGCCATGTTTACTCAGTGAGTTAACAAACTTTTCATGATACACATAACAAGTTTATTTTTGATTTGTCTGCATAAATTTGTTTTTTTTTTGTGATGAAGGTTTTCTCTATGCATACTAATTGACAGTTATTTTGATTCTAATCTGTTGGATATGTAAATACCAATCAAAAGAACTGAAAAAGAAAAAGAATGCTAGCCAATCTTTGAATTGTACCTAAAATAGGCTGATCATAACATTAAAACTTATTCAGACAGCGTAACTAAAAGTTTTTTATCTCATTCTGAAACAAGTTGTAATGTAGCTTGTTTTTTCTTTCTGAATAAAATCTTGCAAAACTACTTCCCTGTGTGAATTAATAAAGATTAACGAAAAATTTGTTTGGCACTAACTGCAAAATTACTTTAAAACCCAAGGAAAGTGTAGGTAGGTAGGTATTAATTATGTAATTACCACATTAAATATTTATTCTAAGTTCCTACAGGTGTACCAAGGAAACAAATGATTTTTTTCACTACTGAAGGAAAGAAATTAGATAACAAGCAAATATTGTTTAAAAATTGTTGATGATGACAATATTAATTTCTTAACCTAAATTAACCTGAATCAATATTGTATGTAATTCTTAACTTTTTAAGAAAAATGGAAAGTTTTTGCTCTTTAGTTTGATAAAATTCTCTTTCAAGGCCTAAAAATTTGCATTTCAAACAGCATATACTGCTTTCATGTTGACAATAATTATTCAGATGTTCCTCATCAAGGTGTAAAAACACTAAACCCCCTCAAGATAAGGAATGTGACAATTTTTTTGCACAATATGGTGGCGCAAAAAACTTCAGGTAAAATTATTTTTTCTTGCATGTTTGATTTATTGCATGTAACTAGAGCTGGGCGTCATTCTCAGGGAACAGTCGTTCTTTCACGGGAACAAACTAAATTATTAAGAATGATGCAATTGCTTCGAAAAAAAGAACGAACACATAGTACCCCTTCTGAAAAATATTGTAACGATCTATAAAATAACAAATGGTGTAACTAGAAACATTAGAAATGGGTGAAAATTGTAGAGTTATAATTTATCTGAATAATGGTAATTTCTGTTATTTTGGTGGGGTTGACCAATGGCAGTGTTTCCTCCCTTTACACAACTCTCCCCCATTGTAAACCTCCCCCTTGAACCCATTCCAGCTCATTCCTTGCAACCATTTTGGAACCGTTCTCAATCAAGAACACAAAGACTGAAAGGAACAGGGATGTAACGATTGAAATAAGAACGAACAAGGAACGAACGATCTAGAAGAAGGCCCTCGTTCTAGAATAAGGATCAAACGATTAATAAAAAACAAGAACACACCTTACCCTACATGCAACACTATGTTTCATTTTCATAGATGTAGAATTTAAAAATTTCATTTTTCATCTTAATTTTTTAAATGGGGTCAAATAACATTTTTTTAACATCTTTCTAAATTTCAAATTCCAGTAGCAAAATTTTTTTTCTAAGTTGGGAGTAGAGTTGGGAGTAGAGTAACAATTAATTTTTACAATAAATTTTAAGGCACAAAATGAAATCTGATGTTGCTGACCTTCCTAGTGGGAAATGCTATGCAGTTGAGGGAGCAGGGCAATTTGGATGGTGCCAGGTAATTATAAACACTGCCAGTAGTGCATTTGATTTGTCCTGGGATGGAATTTAATACATTTGAGCTAGATTGCTCTATTAACTTCTGGCGATTCAAATACTTCTCTTTATAGTTCCCAAGTGTATAGTTTTCATCTATATGATATGGTATAGATGGTAACTACAAGTCTACACTGCAGAACTACAGATAAGTATTTAAAACAATGGTAAGTAGTTCAGCAACCTAGCTGAAATTCATAAAAGTAAGTCCTTGTAAAATATAAATGTGTTCTTACTTAGGTTTCAAACACAAGTGGATTTTACTTGCGCGCAATTGCAAGCCCTATACTTTTTGTGCAATTCAGCACAATTCCGTTCAACGGAATTCCCATTGGAAACCCTAGTTCTTACTAGTTCTTACTACTTCTTACTAGTTCTCACTTGTTTAATCAATTGGTTAATGGTTTGATAACAGAACAGACAAGTTCATGAGTAGCCTTTTGTTTTAAACTTAGAACTGAACTTGCAGTGATACAAGTAGCTGAATATGTAAATGAGTAATGTTGATTTCAGTTATTTTTTGTTTGTTATGATCATAGATTTTTAACAATACAGATGGAACACTAAATGTCTCCTTTTCAAGATTTAGGGGTTTTTCGTTCTTAATACCCCTGAGACAGAGCCTAAAGTAGTAACGCCCATACTGTGTAAATGACAAGACAGAGAAAGAGCATGTGGGTTCTGCCTCAGGGTTATTGTGAACGAAAATCCCATAAATCTTGAAAAGACAATATCTAGTGTTCTATCTGTATTGTTATTAATCTATGGTAGTGATCTTGTTTCTATAAATTACACCAGGAGAATAAATCCTAAATTTTAGACGAGGAAAAGTTGGGGATTCTGTTCTAAACACTGTTCTGAAAAAGGGGTTCGACAATCTATGGATTTGATGGAAACCTCTCCTAGGTAAATAAAACAGATTAATGATTTTGGATACTGGACTATGAATCAAATTAGGAAGATTTGGTGCATGATAACCTTGTAAAAGATCAATGAGATACTTTTGAAGGTTTCCTAAAATAAAATGTACCTCATGCACGTAAAAAAATAAAAATAAATAAGGGAAAAAAGTATTTTCAACTTTTTCCTACAAAAGTCTTGCAAAAATAATTGTCAGATGGAATTATGTAAATAGTAATCCAAAGTTTAGAAATTTTATATATTTGAACATTTCATTAACTCAATAATTGATAAATTAATAAATTTTTTATGATTTTCAGAATTCTTTTAGCGGATGATTGTGCTGCCATTGTAGAGGAAAATTGCATTTTATTTGGCATTTCAAAAATTTTATAAAATATTTCCATTTGTTTTGGTGAAAAGTTTTGACTCAATCTATGATATGTAATTGAGGTTTTGCCACCAACTCTGAATTTTACTCCCTGTATCTTTGCAACCAAATGTTATAGACGTTAGATGTTTCAAACTGTCAATGCTGTTAGATCAATTAATCTAAGTTTTGAAATATCAAAGGTTTACATGATCAGATTGCAAAGATATAGGGATTCGAATATTTGAGTTGGGGCAAAGACAGAATTCCTTCGAAATGATTTTTTAATGGTGACATGAACTTANGTCAAGAAAATATTTACCCTGAAAGATCCCACATTATTTCTGAACTAAAGTAAAGTTTTAAGCAGTTAACAAATTTTCCTTACATCAACTAAAAATCTTTTTTTCAAGGGTGTTTTTGCTCTCAAGAGTCTCCACAAAAAATTAACAGTCTTGAAAAAGTTGTCTCTTATTACCATTAAATGCAAACTCTTTACTCTAGCATATAAGTTCTGAGCCGGCAATTTAAAAAAAATTCAAAAAAATACAGCTCAGGTCTAAGCTTTCGTTTGATCTTATTTTTGACTTTAGCTTTTGGATTCCAGCTGCATCTTATTTTCCACAGAGTTGAGTTTATAAAACCGGTTTAATATTCTATTTTGCGAATTTTCATGGTAGGAATTGGTGCATTCCAGGTTTTTATAAGAACAAAGTCCGAAATCAATGAATTTGAGCCGCGTATCAAATCCATTCGGCCGCAGGTACCACATCGAGCCTTATTCTCCACTAAAACCAACCAAGGTCGGCGTTATTTTCATTGGGCCTAACTCTTAAACTAAGCAACTGTCAATCATGTGACACAAGCTGTTGTAACAGTTTGATCTAAGAATGGGTCTTAAAGCCGGGTTTAAGGAATAACGGGCTCAGGATATTTCTAATTGTTTGTTAACAAATAATTTGTTTGGCTTAGTTCTGCTTTTATTAAATGTCATAGTAAAATATTTTGGATAATATCATAAAGCTATAACTTATATTAAACTAAATTTTTAATTATTTAAAGTTTTGTAATGCCTTCTGAAAGCCAAAAACTTTAAAAGCTTAAAAATGATGACCAAGTCAAAATCAAAATATGTTTTAAAATGTGATGTAACGAATAGAGAGGTATGCAGTTTGACACACACTGGGATCTGTGTGGTGGACAAATAGTAACCAATGCTCAAGTGTAAGTATTAAGTATCTTATCTATCATATAGTCATGTTTCTAAGAACTGTATTAAGGTTAGCTCATAATTCTTTAAGATTAATAACAATACAAAATAAGAGCTCATTTTTGAAATGCAATCTTTAGTAAATACTGTAGAAAGAATCAAAATTCATTTTTTTATTTTTATTATGTTCCTCGCCAAATATTTTATCTTTGATAATTGACAATTTTTCAATATTTCTAAAAAGTGAATCAAATATTGTGAGGTATTTATATTTGCAACATGAATCTGAATTTTTTTTTATCTTTTCCGCCTGTCCTAGCAAATAGTACTGGATTGTTAAACTAGTTTAAAAACTAGTTTGAAACTAGTTTCAAGCTAGTTTTGAACATTTGTTTTCGCCGAACGAACAAGTTTTCCAAAAGATTTTGAAAAGAGATCAGTTTTTTATTTACAAAAGATTTTTTCAAACTAAATTTAAAAAAAAATTATTGGGTTTTTTCTTACCAGAATTATTGATTGAACGATTTTACTAAACAATCGAATTTACTAATCAAACAATTTTACTGAACGATTGTTCAGTAAGAAATTAAACTAAATCAATTTTTTTTGAACAATTAAAAAAAAATTAACGAAATGGGTCATTCACGAATAATGAACTAATGAAATGATGATTATAAACATAGTTAAAATACATCAATTTTTACCTCAAGTACTTGGTGTTGGTTGAAATGTGCTGGATAAGAGACTCTTAAAGATCATCTTTGATATTTGAATATTTTTGTGGTATTCCCGTGTAAGCCTATTTACATAATATCTCTATTCTTAAAACAATTATCACAGAAGGGTTTCAAAAATTGGGTTGACTAATGATTAATTCAAAGATATTAGACATTCTCAAGGTCTCAAGTTGATTTGAAGTAGCAAACTGACTTTTATACGTACCAATTGTATAAAATAGATACAAACTTTAAACAATTATGTATTCTGTTAAAGTGTCAACCTGGCAAATTGTTAACTGGCAAATTGTCAACTTGCAAAATTGCCAACTAGCAAATTGTCAAATGGCAAATTGTCAGCTAGCAATATGGTCAACTGACAAAATGGTGAACTGGTAAATTGATCAACTGGCAAATTGTCCCCTGGCAAAGTTTACCAGGCAAAATGGTTATCTGGCAACTTTGTCACTTGGCATAGTACACTGGCAAAGTGTTGTCTGGCAACTTTGTCACTTGGCAAAGTTATTACATGTGAAAGAGCTACCTGGCAAGTTTATACATACTACATAGGAATCTTCAATTCCTTCAATTGAGCTTAATTTGTATGGTACCGTACACCCCTTCTATATTAAATCTAATAAAACTTGTTGTGTGTGTAGGAGAATGAGATATATAGAGTTCATATCCCACCACCACCCCACCCCTCCCCCCATTTCCTGCCTGGGCTAGCTGTAACCCCCTCCCCTTAGCATCTGAGCGTATAGCTATGTGTTCAGTTTAATTAATACTCCGCTGTAGAGGTCACTTATTCTGTAGAAAGCTGAGAGAAAACAGGATTATGCGTGCTTTCTTACACCGACTACATGTTTAAACTTCATGCTAGCGCCATATTGTGAGAATATTTTTAAAATCTACGTCAACCTGATTCAGCTTGTACTCAAGCACACCTTTACCTTATTTTTATTAACTCTGATGTAGGGAGAAGAGGTTTAACAATGCTGGAAAACTAGTTGAAGAAGTAAACAATGATTTATTAAAAGTTGGTGGGTCTGACGCATGCCAGGTTTGTAAATTCAAGTTTCAAGTAAAATAATCTGTATAATATTAGGTGGATAATAAAAGTTGTTTGGTTATTAAAAGCTATCCAGTGTCTATACAGAAAATTATTTTCATATTTTAAAAAACAGGAAAGGCCTTTCTTACAGCCTGTATCCGACTGTACATGAAGTGGGTCAAGTTTTTCGAGGTATTCATGAGGATCCTCTAACATGTGGTTCTCAAGGTTTTCGTTAGAGACTGGATTTTGGATGGTCGAGGTTTGACGAATTTGAGCCGGGTCTTAAATCCACCAAAAACCGGTTTCAATTCAGGGCTGGCTTAAATCTTGAAACATTGAATACAATTTTCAGTGGAACCATGCATATTTGAGCCGCATCTCAAATTTAAGCCGCTGCTCAAATTCATATAAACCATGGGGGGCCCAAATTCAATCCACATTCCACCCTAGTATATATTTTTAAATTAACTGAGCATCCTGCTTAAAGGGACTGTAAGCTTAATATTAAGTGAACCTGGATGGAAACATGGCATTCGTAAAACCATTATTCTATCAAAAATGTGGAAGAAATTGTCATATTTATAGGTTTTATTCCATTGTGTTTTCTTGCCGTATAAATGCGTACGTCCCATCACTGGAAAATGATCAGTTTCTAAGAGAACCGTAGTGAATCGGGCATTGTCATCTGTTCATGGAGGATTGTTAAAAAATACACTCACAATCCCTTTAAACTCTTTTTTCTATTTCCAAAATTCTGCTAGATCAAATTTTCAAAGTTTGAAATATCACAGCTTCACAGACCACAGTTTTACACCATCAGGTTGTAAAAATAAACTGATTAGGAAATTAGAGTTCGAGTAAGTGGTTACTTCCTTAGTCACCTTGACCAGACAATAACTGTTAGAAGTTTTACAATTCTGATTCAAGATGGAAAACATATCAAAAATGTAAAAATGGTGTTTTTTAATAAATAGAAATAAAAACTTAGTATTTTTAATGTCTAAATATTTATAAATTGTTAAAACAAAAAAATTATTAATAAATAATAAAAAATTCTGTTATAAGATGAAAACAAATACTTATTTCATGAAAATAATTAATTCTTAAAGGGAATGTTCGCGAAAAATGAAAGAGGGTATAGGCTTACGGCGAAAAATAAGCGCTTTTGATCACTACTAATCTTACTTCTATCTGTTGTGTCTTTAAGGAGAAAATTGATAAAATAACTCATGCTTAAGAACGTAGCGTCCATACAAATTCAGAAAGTTGCAATATTCAACTCAGATCGTAAAAAAATCAATTTAATTCCGAACAAATCATACAAATATTACAGCCAACAATCATCAATAATTTTTTGACGCATTAGTATTTTTTATTTTTTATGATCTGATAGTCACTTTTGAAAACATTTATTCCTGTTTCGGAGATTTTTGATAATGAAAACGACATTTTTGTATTTTCCAGGAATGTTCAAAATTCCAGCGCCAGCGAAATATTGTTTAAAAAACAAAATAAAAAATATTATGAAACATTAACTATATACGAATGATTCGAAAAAAAATCGATGACTATTGTTTGTAATATCTGAATGATTTGTTTGGAATTAAATTGATGATTTTACGATCGATCCGAGCTGAATGTTGCAACTTTCCGATTTTGTATGGACGCTACGCTCTTTTGGTATAAGTCGTTTTTAACAATTTTCTACTTATAGACGCAACATATAGAAGTAAGATTAGAAGCGATCAAAAGCGCTTATTTTTCGCCGGAAGCCTATACCCCCTTTCATTTTTCGCGAACACTCCCTTTAATGTCTATGTTCTTTAGGGTGATTCCGGTGGGCCTTTGGTTAAATATGTAAAAATAAATAGCAGGTAGCCTATAGTGGCGACGATTATATCAATACAATGAAGACTACTTTCTATGAATAATGCTTTGATTCTAAACAACATTTTTCAAGGTTACAAAAGCAGTTTAGTGACAACTTCTCTTTGATTAAATATTTAAGTGTTTCTACTGTTTAAAAGCTTTTGGTCCGTATAAAAATTTAACTAGTCTTCACTCACCCAACTCTCTAGAAGTTACATAATCCAAGCAGGTACAGCATGTACTGTATATGCATTCAATCGTACCGTCCAGTCTGGACTACACAGTTTAGAGTCGACCCAACATGTTTTATGCAACAAATGTAGCCTGGAAAGATCACAGTCCACTGTTTTGATTAAGATGAAGACAACTACATGGTTACCCATAGATCAAAGGATCAGCTTTAGAGATGACATTAGAAAATTCAAAATGTATATTAATATTACTTAATATATATTAGTGTAGCTTTTCATTTTGTTCCTTCCTTTGCTTAAACGTCTATGTAGGAAGCGGTCGATATCGAATTCTCGCGCTTTAGTCACCCTGTAACCCCCTTATCGGTTTACAAATTATTTTTTTTACGTTTTGCATAACTGGTATTGAAGGGTAAAATGGTGGAGAAGGCTTAATTGATTGGAATAGTGAGAGGTACAGGGTGTGCATATGATCAGAGATTATTCCTTTGTATTGCAGGGGTAAAGTGGTGGAGAAGGCGTATTTGATTGGAATAGTAAGTAGAGGCACAGGGTGTGCTTATGAGAACCAACCTGGTCTCTACTCCAGGTATATTTTTAACCTTTACAATGCAGGAAGGTTTAAGTCTATTCATCAGTGCATTTAAACAAAATAAAATCTAAACTAACACAAGGAAAAACTTCCTTTCCCACTGACAGCTAAACCTTGGCTGCAAAAGTTATCAATAGTGCTTGAAAAGGCAACTCTTTCGGATTTAGAAGTTACTTTTACTTTCTACCTCAGACCTCCATTGACGCAGGAAGAAGCATTAAGTTAATAGATTGTAAATGCCAAATTACAAGCATAGCCCTTTCCAGTTTTAACTTTGTTGTGAATTATATATACCACTTATACAGCGCAAACCAGTGAATTTAACTCGTTTTATTCTTTACCTAAACCATTCAGAGCAATTTCTTCTTTTCAGAGTTACATCCCTTCTGCCCTGGCTTGAAGAATACATGCTTCCTGAAGATCAATGTATAAATGTATAAAAATATAATAGAATATTTTAAATACTATTTGGAATCTTGGAAACCTTTCTTTACATATTTTTATGTAAGTATTCTGAAAAAAAATAAAAGAGTTTTTAGATTTGTTAAAATATTCAAATATATTCTATGCAAAATCCAGGGGACATTAGTTCCAAAACTAATACTTGGTCCACTTCTAACACTGAATGGGCACAAATTGAAAGACTGGGTTTTTGGGATCCCAACCCATATCCAGAGTTAAAGTCAATACTAAAAACTCTAACCAACATTTTATTAAACATGACGAGGATAACAAGTTCTAATTTTAAACTTTTTAAATTAAAAATTATAATAGGAGTTCTTTTTATATTAAAGCTCTTGACCGTTTTCACGACAATGTTGGGTTTTCCATTTTCGAACATATCCTGAATTTGAAACATTATCGCGTTTTCGAGGCAAAACAAAACTCACTTTCCCCTTTTTTGAGTATAATTCACAATTCAAAACAAAACTCACTTTTATAATATAAATCACTGAAAACAAAAATTATCGTATGAAGACTAAATTGATTTCTTAATTATTTCCAGAATCTAAGTTTCCACATTTTATCTGTTATATTAGAGAATATGGATGATTTATTTTCAAGCATTATAAACAAACAGTTTCCTGCATTTCTAGTTAAATCTATATTGTAAGAACAAATAATATTTTGATTTCTAAATGCTTTAATGATTTTTTAAATTATAAAAAAACAGTTTGTTTTTATTTCCTTTTTTGTTTATCAAAAAATCTTGTTTTGTTTCATAAGTGCGTAAATACTTGAAAATTGACATTGATATGAATTCCGGTAATTGTTTCAAAACCAGGATATGTTCCGAAAACGCGACATGAGCTGAAATCCAGTAATTGTTTCAAAATGCGGTTATGTTCGAAAATGAAATCAAGAAACATTAAAAACTAATTCTCACACCTTATTATTACTTTAAAATTGACATTTATTGTTTCAATATAAAGTTTTAGTCATTTTTTATAAATATATGGTGTAATTTTGTTTTACTCCACTTGGATTTAAAGATATATACTCTTGAAAAAGATAACTTTGCAGATTTTCCCCATTTCTAACACTCAGCGTTAGAAACGGGCCAATTGTTAGTTTTGGAACTAATGTTCCTTAAAATCAGATTTAATTCAAACAAAAGTACAACAATACATACCACATTTGAGAGTTAGTTATTATCCAAAGGAAAACATACTACATTTCCACGAAAGGTTTTCAACTGCCATCTAACGGCCACTTGTTGCATCAAACATAAAATTTATAAATTAAATCTATTTTTGAAGCTTTTCTTTTCGTATCCAAAGGATCCTTAAATATACCTGAATACAGACGTGTGCTACAGTTGTACACAATGGAAGCTGCTGTGGACTATATAGTATATTCTAGCCTTTAACAGATATCTGTAATCCCTTATCTCTGCTTTAATCTGTGTTCACAAATATGACATTCTGCACTTTTTTAGAGAATAAAACAACCCAGGAGCCTATATATGAGGGGTAAATTAATTAGTCATTCTAACTTGATTTATTTGTTTTCCAGTGAAATTCAAAATATACTTACAATCAACCTTTCTTACCAAATATTCTTTGTATTCGCTTTAATATTTCTCTAAAATCTTGTCCTACAGGGGGGGGGGGG